CATCTTCAAACTCTGTTTTTCAAAAATAAAGACAGCAGGCTACAGCCTTAACTTATTTATAAGACTTTATAATAAAGCGTTTACCTTTTAAAGTCTATCCTTCAACCAACTGACGCCTAAATTTTTGGTGCATTCCAGAGGAAAGAAGTTCAAAAGGCGAATGTGTCTAGGGAACCAATTCCTGCTGCCTCATCACATTCAGCTCTGTTCTGAAGGCGGGGTCTCATTTTCTGTTTCTCTGTCCGGAGAAGGATGGCTACAGTTCCAACTCTTCAACTTAGTACTGTGGTTATGTTATTTTTACAGTTTCCTGACCAGAAAGACAGTCACACTTTTTTGACTCAACAAATTTTTTACACTTTACAAATTTATCATTCTTACACTTTGAAAAGTATGCATGCTCAAATATTCTAGTTCCAAACTGCAGACAACTTAAACTAAAGTTAAAAAGACTACTTCATGCCCAGCCTCTGTGGCTCAGTGGATGAGCGTTGACCTATGCACTAAGAGGTCGCCAGTTCGATTCCCAGTCTGGGCACATGCCCAGGTTGAGAGCCGATCCCCAGTGCGGGGGTGTACAGGATGTTTCTATCTCTCCCTCTCTCTCTAAAATCAATAAAGAAAAATATTTTAAAAAGACTACTTTAGGTATAGTGGGAGAATAAAGTTCAAACAAAAGAACTAAGGGAATTTATTACTCCAACAAAGCAGAATGAATACACACAGAGAACACAGCCTTTCTCTGTTAAACCTCTGAATGTTTCTTTTTATTTATTTATTTTCCATTAAATTTATTGAGGTGACATTGGCTAATAGGATCATAGAGGTGACTCCAGGTATGATGAAATTCAGCTCGATATTCCACACTGGTTCAATACATTTGGGGGCGGGGGGTATTTGTATTTAGCTCTGTCATGTATAGTTTGGTTTTACTGGGAAGTAGATGGGTATATGTGAATGACTCCAGGAAAATATATCCCAGAAGCTGAAAAAAAGAAGACAAACTTTTGTCTCCCGGTGGGTCTGCACAGGCAAGCAGTAGCCAATCACTGGTCGGTCTCTCTGGTAGAGCAGGGCTTTCACAGTGTGGTTCCCGGACCAGCAGCATCAGCATCAGCATCACTGGGAATGTGGCATAAATGCGAACTCCCAGGCTCCACCCCAGACTCACTGAATCAGAATCTCAGGCGCCTGTGTATTATCAGGACCTCCAAGTAAACCTAATGCTTGCTCAAGTCTGAGAACCACTCACTGTCTAGAGAGACCAGATAAGCAAACCCAGACCAGGGTTTCTCAACCTTGGCACTAATGACTTGGGGCTGGATAATTCTTTTTATGAGGGACTGTCCTGTGCATTACAGGGTGTTGAGCAGCATCCCTGTCCTCTACCGACTAGGTGCCATTAGCACCCTCCTCCAATGGTGATAACCAAAATGTCTCAAGATATTGCCAAATGTCCCCGGGAGTGTGTGTGTGTGGGGGGGGGGGGGGGGGGCCAATTACTCCTGGCTCAGAATCACTGGCCTAGAGTTTAGAAAAATAGACACTAAATTCACATCTTTCACTTTTCCTCTCAAAATGCTCTCAGCCAGTTCTCACTGCTTTTAGGTTTTATAAATGAACTAACTTCAGCTAGACCCTACCTTAAAGATTAAAAGTTACTTTTTCTGAACATTAAAGCGGAAGTTGTAGAGAAAAGGTGCAAGCCAATTTTTTTTTAACCCTGAAAACTACTATAAAGGAAGAAGCAAAAGGCAGAACCCAAATTGGACACTTACAGTCAATCTCAGTCTCTCCAAATGTGCAGAAAAACTGGATCATGGCGGAAGGAACCAGAGCCTCAGAGTCAGACATGGGTTCAAATCTCAGCCCTATTATTTACTAGCTATGTGCCCTTGGGCAGTTACTGCAATGTCTTTGTACCTCAGTTTTCTAAACTGTCAAATGTCCACTGCAATAGGACATGTATCCAGTGACACTCCCAGGGGGGCCTGGGAGAGCACCTGCAACTAAATGCATTGCTGTCTCTGCAGGAAAACAAATATTCACGTTGCACGGGATAAAGATTACACACAGCCTCACCTATTCAGGTTAATTTTTTAGCACCAATGAGTTTTCAGGCCCAACTTACAAAAAAACAGACACCAAAAACAAAAACAAACCAAAAAACCCCACACTTCTGACTTTTTAGAATGTACTGAATGTTGGAACTGCTGGGGACGGTGACTGCACCCACCTCGTGGGGAGATGTGAGGATTCATGTGGTAACATACATAACGTCCAATTCTGGACTGACACAAAGAAGGGGCTTTACAGAGGTTAGCTAGCTATTGTTATTTCTACAGTACAAATTCTGATTATGTCATCTGCTTGCTCTGAATTCTGATGGTTACTCACTACCTACAAAATAAAGTCCAAATTCCTGAGTGGCCCACAACGAAGTCCCTTCCAAAACTGGACATGGGGCCCTCCAACTGTCATTACTCTCTCCTGCCATGACCACCAATGCACCTTTTGCCTTGGTCACCTAGAAATAACTGTGGTTCTTTCCTCCCTCCTGTTCTTTCCCTCTGCCTGGAAGATGGATGGGAAACCTCCTTCCTTCACACCGACCCCTCCTCTATCCAGTGACATCTCCCCTAGGAGGCTTTCCTTGAGCCTGGCCCTCACTTAATGACACTCCTTTCTGTCTTCCCCGCACCCTGGAAGCTGAGAGCACAGGGCCATATCTCTCTACCCAGCCTTTTGGAAACAGTGATTTTGGAGTCAGCTGTCTTTCTGGGCCACAGGTCCACACACAGTAAGCGCCCAACAAATGCTTGTTTGATGAATAAGGGTGGTCAATATTCTGTTTTCTTAATATGCTGGTTGTGTCCAGTCAGGGGCCATAAAAATCAATGAATCAGAAGTTATATGAAGGCAGGTACTGTGGCTTTTGATCCCTGTTGTATCCCCAGGGACTAGTACTCAATAAGCACAGCACTTCTAAACATATGAATAAGTAAATAAATGAATGATTGAAGAGTATGACACATATTTATGACAATGTAGAAACAAACCACCATGACCAACAACCAAAAAACAAACCCACAGCTATATTCTTTCATTAAATCTCAAAATGTGGCACTAGCTAAAAGGGTTGTCCTACCTTCAAAAAAGTTCCACAGGCCTGAAACACAAATTAGAATCCCAAGGTGCCAACCCTCACCTGGCCTAGTCATCTGCCAGTGCCCTGCTGTGCCCAAGTAAAAAAATGAGCTGATCTAAGGCTCCCCCAGAACATTTCAGTCCCAGAGCAGCTACATAATCACTTCCCATAAAACATTTATCAGCACTGTTCCTGGCCAATAATCTCAAATATTCAGCAATTTACCCAATGTGCATGAGTCATAAATAAAATATTTTACTGAATAAAAACAGCAAACTTTTATAAAGTGTCCCCACTGATGTTCATTTCATGCAAATATCATTATTCTGTCCTTCACCTTTTTTTACATTCCCCTCTTCTCCTTAGGATTCTTGCACCCCTCTCTCTCCCACATCCGGGTCCTTCCCTACTTTGTTTGAGGTCAGTGACTTGTAAACTGGGAGGGAGAGGCCACTACGTTGTTCACAATAAACTCACTCAGAAGCAGAATACAGAGGTCGAGTAGGCACTGCGGCTTCAGGTTTTTTCTCCCACTCTGCACAGGCTCTCAAAGTTACTTATTTCCAAACATATGATTACAAAAGGCTGGACCCTAGGCCTCCCGCTTTAAGAGAACAGCAGTACCTTCCGTCTTTCAGAAGAGAGCCTTTCATCTCCTGGAACATCACCATCTAAGACCACTCATTGTACCAAGGAAACACTTTCATGCAATAAACACCAGTCATCTCCTCCAAATTCTCACAGTCAAGCACTAACCCTTTAAAACGTTGAGGGTTTTTAAAAACACTAACGTTTTAAACAAATCTCTCTCCAATCAATCACACCGCCCTGGGAAGAACAGAGAGCTGGAGTGGGGGAGTCCTGGGTGGCATTTCTGGCTTCACCAATATCTTGGAGATTCTCCAAAGGCCTCAGTTTCCTCTTGGGTAAAATGAGAAAATCGGATCATATCAGTGTTTCCCAAAGTACAGTGGGCATTCAAAGGAAGAAGTCTCATAACAAGAATGAGATGACTTTAGCTGCACAGAGTAACATGTTTTAACTATTAGTTTAAGGGGTTATGGCAAGTAATACTGGCTTTCCATTAATGGTGGACACGTAAAACTTCCTTGAAAATAAAAACATCTAAGCCTTAAAGAAAAATTAGTCGCTTTTAGAAAAAAAGCAAACAAACACGATTCAGTAAACAAGAGTTCAGGTGGTTCTGGCAGTTATGCAGAAATAAACTACCCAGGGACCTTGGTGTTGGGCAGAAGAGCGGGTACAGCCCAGAGTGAAGCAGAAGAAAGGGGGGAAGCCCTGGAGGTTCCTGGCTCTCAGGGAATCCCGGCCGCCAGGGCCACGAGGACTGGCTGCCCGCCCTCCTGCTTCCCAGCGACGGAGGCTGGGAACTGACCGGGGCGAGCCGAGAAGCCCCGCGGAGGTCGGGACGAGATCCACAACGGAGAGGAGGGGACTGGGGTCCCGGGATGGAAGGGGCAGGATACGGCTAGAGGGGCGGTGGGGGTCCCCGGCCGGAGAGACACTGCGGATTTGCGAGTCTCAGGCTGGAGGGGCGCTTGGGATGGGGGTCCCTGGCTGGAAGGGCGCAGTGGGACGCGGGAACCGGGGTGCCCTCGCTGGAGGGGCGCCAGGGGTCAGGGGTCCCGGAGTGGAGGGGCGTGGCAGGGACCCCGGGGCCGGACGGGGGAGGAGTGGCGGGGATCGAAACCCGGGGTCTCAGCCGACAGAGGGGTGCAGCGGGCCGCGCGTCCTAGGAACCGGGGACGCCCCCACGGGGAGAGGGGCCGGCCCGCGGACCCCACTGCCCGGAACCCCGCCGCCCTCGGCCCGCGCTGAACCGCCGCCAGACCTGTCCTCGCTGGCGGTGATCACGCCGTCCTCCTTGGGGATGAGCAGCGCGGCGGTGACGGCGTCCTGGTGCCCCTCGATCTTGCTCAGCAGCACCGGGCGGCTGCTCTGCGGCCTGGAGTGGATCTCGGCCGCCATGTTCGCGCGGCGGCGGCGGCGGCCTCCCGGGAGAGCGGCCCATCAGCTGACCGCCGGGCGGGCGGGGCGGGCGAGACCCGCCGGTTTCGCTCTGGCTCCTGGCGCGTGGGCGCCGCGCTGCCGTAAGCCCCCGAGTGCCGCGCACCGTGTTCCCGTATTGCCTGGGGAAGCGGCGCAGCCAAATGTACAGGGCCCGGAGAGAGCCACAGAGGACGCCTGCCCACAAGGAAGGAAAGGTGTAAAGGTTGAAAATGTAGAGGAAAGAAAGTTCAGCCTAAGGAAAGGTCTTCTACCAGTTTATTTGAGCCAAACTGACCACGGTTTCCGGAAAACAAAATCTCAACAGATGGAGAAAATGCTCCAGAGAATGGCAATTTTGCATCTTATTTTATACATTAGAATAAAAGAAGGAGACAAAAGAGAGTGACAAGAAATCCCTTGGTGGTGGATTAAGGGGGCAGGAGAAAGCAAAGAGTGGAAATCTCTGGGATTAGATAAAAAGTAAAACAGAGAGACACATGGTGGGTACAACATAGTTAACATTTGCAGCACATAGAGATGGTATTGGGGGCAAACATGATAACAATGAGGGCTTCTGTTGTCTTGTGTCCTGAGACATCTGGTAAAGGAGATAACTCTGACACTCCAAAGGTATGCTGTCTTAGATGGAAAACGACAATAGCTAGGCTCACTTAAGGTAACGAGTGACCTTTGTCAGAAAGCTTTAGGCCTAGGATGTGACTACCTGTCATGACTTGCTTTTAGTTAGGAATTTTTATGTTCAGACCATCTTATGTGGCTACTTTTGTTTGTAGGGCCGCCACGCAGGCCTTCCTTGGGCTTGTTAGGTTTAGTATGTGGGCCCCTTTTGTCCACAAAAACTAAACTCCTTTACTCAAGAATGGATTGAGCAGTTGGCAGGGAAGAAAAATTGTCCCCCATACCAAAACCTTCAGAAAATGATACTACTACATTGTATTCATTCTAAAAGCCTTTATTTAGAAGATATCTTCCTTTCAGAGATGTTAATGTGAAAAAATATAGTGCAATTGAGAATCTTTGAAAGACAGCGGGTGACACACACAGAGTGGTGACTATATGCTAGACACTATCCCAGTTTCTTTACATGGATTATCTCCTTTAATACTGGTAACCTTAAGAAATGGAGAGATAATTGCTCTTGCGTCCTCATATTAGAGACAAGAAAACTGAACCAAGGAGAAGTTAAATCACTTGCTTAAGGTCACATAACTATGAGAAAGAGAAAGCCAGCCCTGACCTCCAAGAGTTGGCCTAGTATTATCAACCAGTCTTCAATATTGCTAGGAGCTGGCTGGGTGCTCACAGCTCATTCCTGTGGAACATAAACATCAGACAAGGCGACTTCATAAGCATATTTAAACACAGTAAGAATATGAACATTGTCCAAATCGCAAAAATGACCATAAGCCCCCCTATTCTGGCTAATATGAGTGACTCCTGTTCCTTTACCATTTACAGCATTAGCCTCAGTCTAGTCTTCCTACATAAAGACAAGATTTATTAAGATATCCAATCATAGAATTAACCCCACTTCCTGACAGTATCCAGTCCAGAGGGACGCCCTTCTTCCTTAAACTTTCCCCAGTATCACCTAACACAAATGTAAATCAAAGTCCTTCCTATCACTGACTCCCCTCCAACAGGCAATCAACCCAACTTGTTCAACTACAGATGTGTTCCTGGTGGCTATTGATGGAAAACATCAACAGCTAGTAAGTTAAAGAGCCATGATTGGGACCCAAGAAGTCATTAACTCCAAAGACATCCTCTTTCGAACCCTCCTCCCCACTATATATTATTTTGACTCCTGAATTGCAGAATTGTATCCAGCACTGGAAATGTATCTTAGTCCAAAATGAGATGTAGTATGAACAGAAAATTTTGAAGACTTAATACAGAACAAAAGATGTAAGATATGTCATTCATAATTTTTACATTGATTACATGCTGAAATGATACATTTTAGATACAGTGAATTAAATTAGATATTAGTAAAATTAATCTTATCTGTTTAAAAATTTTTAAATTATATATGTAGCTCATATAGTATTTCTGTTGGACATTGCTGTACTAGTAATTTCTTATGATACAGCTAATATCCATTCATGGATGTATTTATTCATCTATTCGACAAATGTGTATTGTATACCTACTATGTGCCATGCTTTGACAAGATGAATAAGATGTGGTTCTTGTAAGGCTTGTACAGTATAATGACTGAATAGGCTGTTGAACAACTTTTTCCCAACAACAAATATTTATTTATTATTCTAAATGCAGTTGTGCCTAAGTGAGACAAAATCGCCCTATCATTAGAACTTATATTTCAGTAGAAGAACCAGATAATAAAATAAGTAACAAATTACATAGTCTATTAACAGATGTTAAAACACTGTGGAGAAAGTAGTTGGAAGGGTGATAGGGACTCTAGGAAGTTTTGCAATTTTACATAGGATGGTGTGGTATATCCGGAGGTACACTCCACAGACCCAACTTCACGGAAGGAGGACAGTCAGCAGGCAGTCTCTAGCTTTTATCTCTTGAGAGTCTGCCTTAGCTGCAGAGTGCCACTGTGGCTCAGCCAAGCCCTCCACGGGGCAGCCTGAGTTCAGTAACTAAACGAGACATGAATATAAAGATGTGCCTATTTCAACTTGACCCAGGACACACAAATGGGCAATACTGGCTCCAGAACTCTCTCCTGTGTTGGATGAGGCTTTGCCAGGCCTGCATTGCAGCTGACTTGATCTGCCTACTCCTGTTACATCTCCCTGTCTTCACAGCTATGAATCCCCAATGAACACTCTGTGCACCAACCCCTGTCTCAGCATCTGCTTGCAGAGAATGCAACCTGAGACAAGTAGCCAGGGAAGGCTTCACGGAGAAGGTGACATTTGAACCAAAGAGAGGAGGGAGTAAGCTGTGTGGAAATACCGGAGAACGTCCTGGAAAGGGGTGCAGGAAGGCCCTGAGGGGACAGCGTGCCTAGGGTTTTCTAGCATTGGCAAGACATCTAGGAGGCTGGAGCAGAGTGAGTGAGGCCTGCAGAGGGTGATGAGGACAGAGGGTCACCAGACAGACCATGTCAAGCACCAAGAAATGGTAAAAAACCTTGGCTTTAACTTTAAGTGAGATGGAAAAACCACTGGAGGGAATGAGCAGACTAGCTTAATCCGTCTTCAATTTTATTTTATTTTACTTTATTATTTTTTACAGCAACTCGGGGCCATGTTTACTTCAAGAATAACCCCACCTACTCCCACCCTAATTATTTTGAAAATCTGAGATACTTTATTTTTCACAAGTAAATATTTCAGTGGAAATTTCTAAAAAGTAAAGACAAAAAAAACCCCCAAAAATCACCACAACTAAAATACCATCATTGTAACGACCCCCCAATCATTCTCTGATAGTATTTAAAAACTTGTTAGTACTAAAATAATCCATATCTCCTTTTTATTTGAGTTGATGTGTTCCAACGAGGGTTCACGTTGGCTGAGTCTCCTAAACCTCTCTAAGTCTGTAGATGCTCCGTCTTTTTGTGATCCTGCGTTTGTTCCCGGAAAAAACCACAGCCGCCCCGCCCACTGCCTGCTGGCCCCGCCCCCGCCTGGCTCAGCGCCCCAGTTCCGGGGGACTGTGTCACCGCGACACCGGTCCGACGCTTTTCCTTCCGGCCGCCATTGCCGTCTGCCCTGCCATGGCGTCGGGGCTGGGGCGGCTGCTGCTGCGGGCGCCTCGCTGCCTCCTGGCGCCGGCCGCGCCCGCCCTCGCCCCGCCGGTGCGGGAAGTGAAGAGCTTCCGCGCCGCCGTCCGCTTCCAGAAGGAGCTGGAGCGGCGGCGCCTGCTCCGGTGCCCGCCGCCGCCCGTCCGCCGGTAGGGCCGCCTCGGGACGGGTCCGGGTGGCGGTCGAGGTCCCGGCGGCGGGGAGGGTAGTTCGTCGCTAACGCGCTCCTGGTTGGAGCCGAGGAGGGTTGCGATGCAGACAACACGAGCACGCGTGGACTGGGCCACAGGAAATGGGTTTCTGCCGCGCGTGGAGCGCGGGGCCGCCCGACGCTTCCCTCTGGCCTTTGGAAGCCAGTCCTCTGCGCGCTGTGCGACGGGCCGGCTGGGGCGAAGCCCGGCCGAGGGCCGGGGCGTGGTGGCCCGTTTTGTCACGTCCGAGACGTCTGTGGGAGCGGTGATGGGAGGAGACACCCCACAGCATCGCGATAGGGGGAGAAACACGTCGTGTGTTACACAAGTGCACTGTCCAGAGTAAAAGGGAAGCCTCTTCGCTTTAGGGGTTTGCGCTCATTAATCTTGTCCCGGGAATAGAAGGTCCGGTAGAAAGAGACGCGGATCTTGACAGCTCCTAAGCAGATCCTGCTGTACACGAGATTCCGCATCTTTTTTCCTTTGGTAATGTGTCTGACATACCGTCGTGGCAGCATAAATACATGCGCGTCACTCTTTCATGGTTCCGTATATAGGTTTTTGAATTCCATATTACTGCTATTATAACTGACGTAACAGTGAATAGCTTTGAAGTTATTACTTCTTTGGAGATTTAGCATGAAATGTTGCTAGCTATCAAATGTTACCACCCCCCCAAAGTTAATCTAGTTTATACACCTGTCAGGAATATACCTGTTCATATTACTGTACTCTTTGAACACAAATATTAAGTTATTTTCCTAATAGGAAAAAAAAACATTTCTTTTTAATTCACATTTCATTGTTATTGTACAGTTAGTCGTCTTAGGCTTTTATAGTTGGAAGAAACTTTTGGATTGGATATTCCATCTTATTATTTACAACTCAGATTTTATACTTTGCTGATCTCTTTTACTTCGAAGTTTTATTTTGGGTTCATTGTCTGTCTTTTTTAAAAAAAAGGACCTTTTAGTCATTCTTGGGAATGATTATGAACTTTTAACCTACTTAGAATATTGGTACTAGATTGCTTAATTGCTAATTTAAATGGATTTTTTCAAAACTTAATCAAATATAAGATAAATACTATGAACTTATTATTTATGGCTTGAACCTGTGAAATTATAATTTATGTTTTTATTGATTTTTTTTTTTAGAGAGAGAGGAAGGGAGAGAGAGCTAGAAACATCAGTGTGAGAAACACAGTGGCTGCCTCCTGCACACCCCCTGGTGAGGATCGAGCCTGCAACCCTGGGCATGTGCCCTGACCAGAACTGACCGGAAATTAAACTCTGACCTCTCAGTCCATGGGACGATGCTCAATCCACTGATCCACATGGGCCTGGCTGAAATTATATTTTGCATTTTACACCTAGGTGTTAAGTGTAGTTCCATGTTTAGGGCGCTTTAATGTAGCATTTGGCTCAAAGGGAAAATTAATCCAACAATGTATCTAGCAAAAAACAAGCAGTCATCTGACTTGAATTTTAACTTTTAGAAAATCAAAGCCTAGCTTTAAATGAAAATCTTTTAAGTTTCCTTTATATAATTAACAACATTGCATCACAGTGAAAACTTTTTTGCACCATAGTAACATCTTGTTTTTCTCTTTACCATCTGTTACTGTCTTGTGTTTTACATTTTCAGTTCAGAGAAGCCCAACTGGGATTACCATGCTGAAATACAAGCATTTGGACATCGGCTACAGGAAACCTTTTCCCTCGATCTTCTCAAAACTGCATTTGTTAATAGCTGCTACATTAAAAGTGAGGAGGCCAAACGACAAAAACTTGGAATAGATAAAGAAGCCGTTCTTCTGAATGTTAAAGATAATCAAGAACTATCTGAACAAGGCTCATCTTTTTCACAAAGTTGCCTCACACAGTTTCTTGAGGATGCATTCCCAGACTTGCCCGCTGAAGGTGTTCAAAGTCTTGTTGACTTTCTCACTGGTGAGGAAGTCGTGTGTCATGTGGCTAGGAACTTGGCTGTTGAGCAGTTAACGCTGAGTGCGGAATTTCCAGTCCCCCCGGCTGTATTACAGCAGACTTTCTTTGCAGTAATTGGAGCCCTGCTACAGAGCAGCGGCTCTGAGAGGACCGCACTTTTCATCAGGGTAGGTCATTATTGATTGCACATACAGAAACATACTTGAGGTGGGCAGAGAGAAAATTTTCTATTCATAATTCATTTCTGTGCTATATGACCATGGGAGGTTGTGGTGTGAAATTTGCTTGCTACCAATACTGAGAAAGACCTAAAGCTTTTTTATGGTAGCATATGAATCGTTCCAGTTATCTCTCATCGAGGACATCATCAGGGGTGAATATTAAGTACTGGGTTGTGGGTTTGTAAGGACTGCAAGCCATGTTTTAGCTTTGCATCCTTAGGTCCAAGGACACTGCTTCCAGAGCAGGTGCTCAGTAGATGTGCAGTGAATGAATGAGACTAAGGACACCAGGGGAGGGCCTCGTGTGCTTAGGAACCTTCATGTTTACGTGATGAAATCTTGGAATTCTGAGTTCCTGTGATGTACACCTAACTTCTTGTTAGCCTATAACTTAGCTAATTAAAACAAAATATATTTGGTATGACTTGACTTCCACTGTCCATTTAGAAGTTATTAACTGGGAGAATTTTTATCCTCTGTGTTGGATGAAAATATGGTGGGGTTTTTTTTGTTGTTGTTTGTATGTTTTTTAGTTACTCTTACATAATGAAAATTCCACACAACCATTTAAAAAAAAAAAATGAAAACAGTCTTGAATCAGACGTTTGCACGTTGGGTCTTTTAAACCAGCATCCCTTGCTGTTGGAATCTATCCACTTGGTTTTGATACTGAGTTTGATTTTTTTTTTTTTTTTAAATCCTCACCCAAGGACATTTTTGCATTTATCTTCAGATAGAGAGGGAGGAAGAAAGAGAAACATCGACGTGAGAGAGACACATTGACTGGTTGCCATCCAACCAGTGCCGGGGACAAACTGCAACTGAAGTACATGCCCTAGTGGGAACCAAACCAGGGTCTCTCTGGTCCACGGGCCGACACTCGAACTGCTGAGCCAAACCAGCCAGGGCGAGTTTGATAATTTTTGTAGAGAAGGATACCTGTGCTAACCAACGTTCAGGCTTTGTTCATAGGTAAAAGCTGTCTTCTTTCCCCGGCTGAGGCCTATGATAGGTGGGCTTCCTGTTTGCCTTTGGGAAGCAGGTGTGTTAACTGTCCCCTCTGGAGTAGGAGCTCAGGGAAAGAAAAGGAGAAAGGAAGGCAGATTTTTACTTGACTTGATGACTGTAAGTTGGTGTAGTGCTTCTGAACCTAGTTGATGATTAAAACAGACTCTAATGGGCATTGTGTCCCCTGCTGGAACCTTCCAACCGTGGTCCTTGACATGCTATTGGCTGCTCCTTCCCTTCTCAGCTTCTGGTTTCCTGGACAGAGTTCCTTAAAAATGGCATCCCTCTGAGTTCCACATCAGGTCCTAAGGGTTTATGCCTTAGACATCAGCTGCAGACATGTCCCCTATTACAGGCAGCTTCCGCCAGCCTGTTGCCTGGATGCCAGGAATGTGGGTTAGCTGCCAGCTGCCTCTACGCCCCTCGCCCCAAATTCAGAGGCCAGTGGACACTTTCTCAAGGCCCCCAGGCTGAAGGTGAAAGGGAAGAGCATCCCCTGCTTTCCGTCCCAGGATTAAATAGCTTTTTTCTAAGGAAATTCTCACAAGTTCTTCCTTGATTTTCATTCTTTTTATCACTAGCTTATGTGGAGGCTTAGAACGCTCTAAACCAGTGGTTCTCAACCTTCCTAATGCCACGACCCTTTAATACAGTTCCTCATGTTTTGGTGACCTCCAACCATAAAATTATTTTTCTTACTACTTCATAACTAATTTTGCTACTGTTATGAATTGCCATCGGAAATATGTGTTTTCCGATGGTCTTAGGCGACCCCTGTGAAAGGGTCGTTCAACCCCCAAAGGGGTCGTGACCCACAGACTGAGAACCGCTGCTCTAAACAATTGTTGGTCATTTTTTAAAATTTTCTATGAGGTAGTCATGAGATTATTTCAGAAATATTTGCTAACCATACTTTAGTGCCACTTTGACAGATCCAGTTTCAGAGCCTATTAGGTAATTCGGATGCCTTTCTCAAGTCAAGACTTTTTGTCTCCAGCATTAGAATGGACAGGTTGGAAATGTCTTAGTCCTGCCAGGCCCTGTGCTGAGCACTGGTGCCTGGGCTAAATAGGATATGGTTTTTGCCATCAGGATCCCATTCACAGCTCATTGGACAGATAGTGGAATGTGGGAGGTGCATTCATGGAGGTACTACAGAGAGGAGGCAACTCTGCAGGGTTAGGGCAGATGTACAGACATGCTTGCCCCTAAGGACATTTCAGGAAGACGCCTTAAGGTGAGTTTGTGATTGGGGAACTGGCCAGATTGTTTTGTATCTGGGAAAGTGATAGAGAATCTGGTCCTTTAAGAGCAAAAGTGTGGAAGATCTTTTGAACTTGTGTGTCCTTAGAACATGGTTTGGCAGAGGTGACATTAGTGTCACTGAGAATGTGTTAGAAATGCAGGTTCTCAGGCACCACCTCAGACTACTGAATCAGAATCTGTGAGGAGGGCCGAGGAATCTGCTTTAACTAGCTCTCCAGGTGGTACTTCTGCCCCCCAAAACTTGAGCAGCACTGTTCTTAGCCAGGCTAAGGAGTATAATTTGATGATCTTGTCAGGGCTGATGTAGAGACAGCTGGGGAGAATCATATGTGCAGTTTAGAAACATTTCTTCATACTGCTTCTGTATACTGGGAAAAGAGATTGGAATATTCAACAACCCACACCCTGACAGCTCTAATAATAAAGAGGAAACAATAGGAGGCATAGGCAGTCATCCCAGAGATTTCTGTACTTCTACAAATATCTTAGGCATTAGAATTGTTTTCCTTACCCTACAGTTGGTATTCTATGTGAAATAGGTTATTCTATGTGAAATGTGAATAACCATGTATGTCTCACAAGGAATCTCTATCTCTGTACATTAAACAATTCAAAATCCCCAACTGAGAATAAGAAATATTTTTTATTAACGAAACTGAAATAGAGGTCTGGCTTTGGGGCAGTGGTGTAATGAAATAGACTAATTTTTGAACTGAGGAATCTTTATTTCTCCTGCCTGCCCCCATTTACCCACTCTATTATGTACTGTGTTTGTTAACACAAGTTAATTGCAGTGTACTGTGAAAATTAATGTTTCTTCCCATATATTCTATATAATACGATTTATTGCCAAAAACAATTCTCTTCTGCTTTGAATGTTCATACTTTCTTCCTCTGTTTTTTGTGTGTTTTTTTAGTTCATAAATTGAAAGTATATCAAGTCATAAACACTTGTAAAAGGTAGTTAATGTGAAATTATTATATTGGGGGGGTAAATCAAAGCGTTTTATTGGAGCATCCAGGGAGGTTCGAAGGGCTGGGAGAACCGAGCGCACACCCTCAGCCTGTTCGCCATCTCGCAGCTTCACAGCTGCCGAAATAATGAAATTATTATTTAAATGATTTCTTAAAAATATGAACTAGGCAAAGAAGTATTATTATCTAAAAGACCCTTACTGCCTTTTTACAAGAGTTTCTGTCAGAAGTTATTACTGTTTATTCATTAAACTCTTTTTAAAAATATTTTTCTTACTGATAAGAATATATTTCTAAATTATAAGATAGGATTTCACCTTTATGGTTTTTGTAATAAAATTTATATGAGAAAACTATATGGGAATGAAAAGGAATTGTACATTTTTTTTCTTTTCCCATTTAGTTTTTAATTTCTATTAAAATTGTAAATTGAATTATGGTCCTTATTTTGTTTATACTAATTTAAACATATAAATTGTATTTTTATATTCAGGACTTCTTAATTACTCAACTGACTGGGAAAGAACTCTTTGAGATTTGGAAGATCGTCAATCCCATGGGGCTGCTGGTGGAAGAGTTGAAAAAAAGGAATATTTCAGCTCCTGAGTCGAGACTTACCAGGCAGTCTGGGAGCACCACAGCCTTGCCTGTGTATTTCGTTGGCTTATACTGGTCAGTAGAATCTTAAACTTAACTTCATAACATTGATTGGGAGCCTTAAAAAATGACTTTTCATAATTCCTTAGTATAACCTCTAATTACATTAAAAGACTTTGTAAAATCTAATTCCTCTGATTATGTACTACTTCCTTTCCTGCTGGTCATCCTTCGCAAAAGGTCATCTGTGGAGTGCTAGTAGTAGCTTTTCCCCCTGAATTTTTTCTTTTTAAATCTTATTTTTCAATTACAGTTGACATTCAATATTATTTTATATTGGTTTCATGTATACAGCATAGTGGTTAGATAGTTATCTAATTTACAAAGAGGTCCCCCTGATAATTCTCTGGTTTCGCGGGTTGACACTCTAACTGCTGAGCCAAACCAGCCAGGGCTCCCCCTGATAATTCAAGTACCCACCTGGCACCATACATAGTTACTACAATATTATTGACTGTGTTTCCTGTGCTGTATTTTACATCCCTGTGCCTCTTTTTGTAACTCCGAATTTATACTTCTAATCCCTTCACTTTTTTCATGCTAATAGCAGCTGTTGATAACCAGCTATTATTACTGTAGAATTTTGTGGAATATATGTTAATCTAAATATTTCTGTAGGAAAAAATAAAAGTTTTTTTGTTTTTTTTTTATCCTCATCCGAGGACATTTTTCTATTTTTTGTACAGACAGAGTGGGAGGGAGAGAGAGGAAGAGAGAGAGAGAGGGAAACATCGATGTGAAAGAGACACATCGAGTGGCTGCCACCCGCACGACCAACCAGGGCCGGGGACAAACTGCAACCGAGGTACATGCCCTTAGCGGGAACCGAACCCGGGTCTCTCGGGACCGCAGGCGGACGCTCTAACCGCTGAGCCAAACCGGCCAGGGCGGAAAAAATAAAAGTTTTGACTCAGGTTTTACAGCTTTAACCCTATCTACACTTGTAACAGCTTTAGCTGAGCCAAGCACTGGGAAAGGAAGGGTTTACTAGTCCATCAAAATGTATAAATGTATAACTCATGTTCAGAACTCTTTAGTTTTCTTAGTCAACAGTTGACCTGCCCCAAACTAATTTTAGGTAGATTAGAGTGTTAAATATAAACAGTGAATATCTAAGATCACTAAGAATTTGGATAAATATATTTCTAATCTTTATATGATGTAGGGCTTTATAGCTATAAAAGCAACGGAGGACATCACAGAAGAAAAATGGGTGGTATTGTAAACTTTCATCTTTAGTTTTAATTAAAGTACAAAGCAAAACGATATATACTCTTGCTCCTCAGATCCAGATCAGCAACCCTTAAACACTTCCTTTACCGGCAGTTCATATACTATTGCTGGTAGAAAGAGTGGTACGATATTTCTGTCCTGGTGGACAATGTCAGATTCACAAGCTAAACTGATCTGTGGGCTGAGCTCTGTAATGCATCAGACAGTTTCCGAATGTTGCTATTTTTTATTCTAGTGATAAAAAGCTGATTGCAGAAGGACCTGGGGAGACAGTCCTGGTTGCAGAAGAGGAAGCTGCTCGAGTGGCCCTCAGGAAGCTCTATGGGTTCACTGAGAACAGACGGCCGTGGGATTATTCCAAACCCAAAGAGAATTTCAGAGCAGAAAAGACCATCACTGCCAGCTAGCCAGCCAAAGACGTGGGAACCTGAAGTTTGTGAGCCAGGCATTGAGACAAGTGTCAGGTGTTCAAAGTTGGACATTTTTCAAATTGTAAAGGAATGTGTTTTATTCCTTAAACTGAGTTCCTAAAATTAAACAAGTCTTCATCAGGGCACATGTTTTTTTTCTTAAATTATTTTTGTTTCCTCATCTTTTTTGATGTTTTCCCAGTAAATTTTTCCATGGTCTTTGATTTTTTTATTGTATATATTGCACAATTAGGTATGTTTTATTCACCTCTAGCTCTGAGGTATCATAATTTGAATGTATGTTTTATGTGAACTTTGCTGTAATACAATAAAAAAGTTACTCTTTCTCTAATTGTTTCATTATAGTTTGATATACCTAGGTGAGTGAACTTTGCCTCTAGTATAATTTTAGCTAAAATAGTGATGTTATAACTTAACCTTTAGAAACATAAGGTGCATATTATAGCAGTAAGGTATTGACATGATCTCTAGATTCTATCCAGGTTTAAAAATCTGTATAGTAATTCATTTCCTAGTTATTCAATTTCTATAAAACGAATGCTTTTAAAAGAACACAAAGGTCAAAAGCAGCTTAAAGGACTGATGCCATGGCTAATGTGAAAATAAAATATGTATTTATCAATTTAATATTCCATAATCATACTCATAGCTACTGTGTGCCAAGCACTGTTCTAAGTATTTTACTATAACATTAATTCAGTGGAGGACAAATCTTAAGTGTATCTTCTGGTTCTTTAATCCTTCCTGTTCAATTCTGTAATCCACTTGCCAATTCAGTTCCCTCTGATTTCTTGACCTTTTTGGCAACAGTAATAATTTTCTGTTTCAGTCTGCCAGTAGTTATGCCCAGGGGTTAATAAGAAAACGGGAATGGGAGTTGAGAATAGAAAAGGTAAAATGTTTTAAACGGATAGCACTTTGCCATGAAATCTTTTTATAAAGGAAGGTGAAGGGCCTTTGAGACTTTCCTGAGACTGGTCAGGAAAGTGGAACTTGCGTCACCTGTAAGAGGGTTTACAGATAGCACAGCTAATGGAGACTGTTTGGGGAGTAGAAGGTTCGAGGATTATGTAGTTGGTTGAATTGATAGGTTAAATATAAATTATTTCACTTTCCTTTTGAGAGTTAACTCCCAATAATTGAGCACGGACAGAGGACTAAACCCAGCGGTAAAATGTCACACTTAGTGTGTCACCCACAACAAGTAAACCTGATTTGATAAGCTGCTCATTAACACTAGAGAAAAAAGATTACAGAACATTTCTGGAAAGCAAAAGATGATAAATGTCCTCCAAATACTGACTCATTCATCATGCAAAGCATCAGGTTCCAGCTAGAGTATTCAAATTTTATTTTAGGTGAACATTTTTACAAAGAATTTTTTTTTTTAAAGAATTTAGTTGCAAAGTCAGTAATTCTTTATCCCCTACCCCCCACCCCCCAAATAGTGTGATCCTAAATTTCTCCTGTTTAGGGCAGTTTGCAGGACTTTAACCTACTGGGTTGTTGGGGAAGTATCCTCAGCTTTAGGTTTCCAAGCTTCTAAACCTTGAATGCTTTTAGATTTACATATGGAACAAAGCTAGCTGTTGTTCATAAACACTGTTTTGCAAGTTAAGAGATCCAGATTCCTTATGGAGAATGTGATTTCAACATACTTCTAAGTAAAGCCTTATTTGAACCTAAATTAAGTTGTACTTTTTTAAAGCACCCATGAACATATGGGCCGGAATGGAGAAAACAAATTATTAACACACTTTGCAGTTCTAGTGAAATAATTTGAAACTTGGAACCAACCTGGACAACTATTTAATTTTCTCTAACAGAATAAATTCTGCATAAGTCTCACGTGGGCAAGAGGAACATGGGTTACGAGGATGTCAGAAGGGGTGTGTAGCCCTGACCAGTTTTGCTCAGTGGTTAGAGTGTCAGTCGGTGGAGCAAAGAGTCGGGTTTAATTCCAGTCAAAGGCACTTAGTTGCAGTTCGGTCCCTGGCCCTGGTTGGGGTCGTGTGGGAGGCAATCAATCGATGTGTCTCTCTCACATCAATGTTTCTATTTCCCTCCCTCCCACTCTATCTAAAGATAAATGGAAAAAATATGTATACTAGGGTGAGGATTAAAAGTGTGTGTGGGGGGGGCAGGTGTAATTAAGAGTATTCAGTGGCCATTTGGAGGACTAGGCTTTTAACTAAGGTCTAGTCCATGTTAAGAAGACAGTTGTTGACCATGGGAAGTTGATGGGATATATAAGTACTGATACTTGAACCTGGCACAGGAGAAAGACATTAGAGTCATTTACTTTAAAATTATGACATCCCTTTCTCACCTTTTTGTACTCTAGTTCCCTAAGCCCTAAATATAATAGTACCAAGAGAAGTTCCTTAGCCAAAAATGTAAGACCGATGTCTACAGACTCAATTACATAAGCCTTATTCTTTTTAGTACGTAATTTGCTTTTATTATATGCATACATAAAAATAGGAATACTATTCTCAAAGTATTTTATGTGATCATGAGAAAATGAACTATATTACTAAAAACTCAAACTCCCAAGAATGAAATAGGGCCTGTTTATTGTGTTCAGCATGTTATATATTTGGCCACAAGATGGTGCTCTAATCCCACAAAACAGTTAAGTAATATGCAAAGGGCCATGACGGAGGTCACTGCCTTTTCTTCCCTACAGGAGTGATTATGTATGTGTAGGGTATGTGATTACAGTGACACATGACTTTTCTAGGCCCCTTACAACTCTAATATTCTATGAATATGTGTGGAGAAGCTAGCTCACCTCTCCCCTCAGGATGTTAAGCAGAGCATTTTCTGCAAGAACGACTCATCTCTGATGCCAAGGTCTGGATGTTTTCGCTCTTTTATATTTACTGGAAAGAGGGAAAATGGTATTTTCCATAGGTAAAACTTTTAAAATACTTTTTTTGTGGAGGGAGGGCATTTCTTGCTATTTTTTTCTCCCAACATTTTTTAATGATGGAAGAAAATGCGCTGACTACAGAGGCAAGGGTATCTTCAAGCGTAGAACCAGGACAAGCGAAGACCAGAATGACACACACCAGACCATCATTTGACCAGTTTTGAAATCCTGATCAGAAGGGACTATGCTGGTCTGCACATAGAGGACATTTCAACCCTGTCCCCTTGATCTCTTTGTTCTGCTGTTCCTCTCCCTCCTTATAAAGACATCTACCAACACTGAGGTAGGGTGATGGGCTTTGGACAGGAGTCCCCCTTCTTCTCAGGTAGCTGACACTTGAATAAACCTCTTTCCTTTTCACCAGCATCTGTCTCATGAGTTTGACTTTTGTGGTGACAGACAGCCAAACCTTGGTTTAGGTTACAGTTTTGGTGTGTCAGCCAGGAGCAACAAGGATACCTCTGGCTGGTAAGTTCCTGGACTTTGGAGGGGTTCCCCAGGCTGCCCATGGCTGACCAATCCTGTGAGAAAACTTGGGAGTCCCTAGCAGCTGCCAAGTGATTTTACTCAAGCACTGTCCTTCGCTCTCTCGGCACTGGTTGCTGTTATGCCCAGCTGGGGAGAGGAAATGGGTTGTTGGTGGGCTGTAAAGTCCCTGTGTGCAGGACTAAGAGCCCTCTGCCCCACCATTTGGGTTCTCTGAACTGCTTGGGATTCCATAGGAATAAATAGGTGCTGCTTGGGGTAGTCACAGTTCAGTGACAAGAAAAATCCCAGTTTCCCAGTGTTAGCTCTTAACTTCCATATTACTGCCCTAAACCTCTCATCCCAGAAAACCAAAACCCATCACTCCAGTCAGGCAGAATGGAATGATGGAACCACCCTAACCCACCCCAAACTGCAAGTGGTCGCTGGATAAGAAAAACAAGTTTCAGGAGACCCCAGCCCTGGACCAATCAAGAACTCGGAGACCCTGGGCCCGACCAATCAAAGACGACCACGTCTCCTCAGCTGAACGACCACCCCACCCCCAGCCCTAAGTTTAAAAATCCCTAGTCTGTACAAGCCGGTTGCTACTCTCTCCTTAGAGGTACTCCGGCAGGCTGATTCCCAATATATCTGCACTCTGGATACCCTGCACCACCTCGTCCCGCCTCGTTCTTACATCCAGTATGTGATTTGGTGGAGTGCTCTTTTGGTTTTGGTATGTGGATTTTGGGATATTGTTTGTTTTTCTTGTTGCCTAGATTTTTTGAGGTGTCTTAATAGTTGTGTTTTTAATTTGGGATATCATTGCTTAGGGAAATTTGCATAGAAACCATACTGCTATATGGTTGCTTGCTCCTTCCTGTTTGCCTAATTGTGATTTTCTGTGTAACCCTTGACTCTTAAGTATGGGAGAGGTGGCTTGGGGCTTGGCCTCTGCACCCAGTGGTAGCCCCCTGGGTCACAAACTGGTCAATTGGTCCACCTCTGGCTATGAGCCAATGGCCAAGAAAAAGATGATCTTTTATTACACCACAGTTAAAATTGTTTTGCCAAAGGTCTAGTAAATAGGATAAGGTCTCTTATATGCAAGCTTTTATGTTGTTACATCATAAGAATTCTATGAAGACTGAATTTATAGTTCAAAGAGGGGGAAAGATCTCACTCCCTTCCCAGACAGTAAAACTCAAAAAGAAAAATGTGAGAAAAGAAGTCATTTAAACACTCTGAATTCTCCTCCCAGAGGCCTAGGAGCAGTCCTGGGAACAATGGGGAAATTAATACCACTCCAAACTCCTGCACAGGCTGTGGAAGCAGCAGGGGCAACTGTCCCACCTCAATGTGCAGGAAACAATGGTACGTTTAAACCTAAGCAGCAGAGTCTGATATCCCCCTCCCTCCACACCTCCTTTTTTTTTTTATCCTCACCCGAGGACGTTTTTGCATTTATCTTCAGGTAGAGCAGGAGGGATGGAAGGGGGAAGCAAGAGAAAGAAACATCGATGTGAGCGAGACACATTGACTGGGGGGTTGCCATCCACACAACCCCAACCGGGGCCAGGAACAAACTGCAACCGAGGTACGTGTTTTTAGTGAAAACCGAACCTGGGACTCTCTGGTCTGCAGGTCGATGCTCTAACTGCTGAGTCAAACCAGCCAGGGCCACACCACTTCTCCTAAAAGTGGTCAAAGACACTAGATAAACAGCTCACTTTTAAGCATACTAAAGAAATGACTCATGTTATCTCTGTCATGCCTCTTAAAACATGTAAGTGTATTTGCCAATGAAAAAGCCTGTTTCTGAAAGTTATTTAATGTATTCATAAATTTGCCAATCTAAAGAAAGCTACTTACTTACTTTTAGTTGTCACTAAACATTAAAAACTCTAAGTGTTTAAAAGTGTATGGTTTTAGTAATAAAAATTGTAAGTTATAGCAATGTAGTTTTTTAAAAATAGAATTGAAAGTAGGGTGTTCTGAAGTTGGTTGTTTCTGAATAACTTAGAAGAAGCAATCTGAGGGGCCAGGAAAGTTGCAGAAGGACTGTGTACGTTGCAGAGGGTTTGTAAAGCGGAAGGAGGGAGTTGGTATAGAGGGAAGAAGCAAAAAGAGAAAGAATTGAGGAATTGAAAAAGGGAGAAAAGGGATATAATAAAGGGACATTGAAAGAGAAATACTCAGGAAGGGAAATGGAAATGGGAAAAAAAGAAAAAAACACCAAAGGCGTATTAAAAAAAATAGTAAAGCAGAGAGGTATTTTTAATGACAAATGAAAACGTCAGAAGCTCCCTTTAATTTTACAAAACCAATTGTAATTTTCTCACAGGAACCCCATGTATTAATCAAGGCTTTGACTGGAATGTCATGTTGAAGAAAAACATGTCTAACTCTGGAAGCCAGTAAAAAAAACTTGAAGGAATGAAGACTGACTTTAAAGCTGGTAAAAGCCCCTTAGAAAAATGGTCTGGTACTTACTTATTTACATGGTTCATGGCAGTCTTTACAGGTAAGGGATGAAGGTTGCTTTCCTGGGAAATGGCAAAAAAACCCCAAAACCCGCAAGAGCCCAGCCAGTGTGGCTCAGTGGTTGAGCACTGACCCATGCACCAAGAGGTTGCCTATTCGATTCCTGGTCAGGGCACATGCCCAGGTTGTGGGCCCAATCCCCAGTGGGGGGCATGCAGGAGGCAGCCAATTGATGTTCTCTCTCATTGATGTTTCTATCTCTCTCTCTAAAATCAATAAAGGAAAAAAAATTTAAGACATTTTGGGGACCTCAAGAACTTAAAGAATTTACCCAAAATTAGAAGTGTTGCAGGTAAAGACTGATGGCAACTGAGTGGCTTGGCTTCTTTGCCCTAAGAGGCTAAAGTTTAATATGCAAATTCTTATAAAATTCTAGCAAAACAGATTTAAGAAAGCCTACATGATCAATAGCTATTCCTGTTGTGTTTATGCAAATAATCAAGCCAAATTGAAATTGGACTTAATACAGTAAATGAATTAGTATTTATTTGGCACTTTGATAAAAATGAAGGTTATTTTAGGGGGAAAATTGTGTTTCCATAAAATCTGTAACACACAGTTGTAGATATTAGACTGTAGTTCAATTGTTTGTAAAATTTTCTTTTTCACCTGTAAACTAGGCTAGATCCTGAATTTTTCTAGTTTTCTGAGATATTTTGACTACAACCCACTAACTTCCATGGAAATGAAAAAAAAAAAAAAAATTGAGTGGGGAATTGTAACCCACCTGTCATTCTTTTGACAGTTTCTGTAAATGCTGGCTCTGACTAATATGTAGCCTGTAGACAAACAGCATGTTTGTATAAGAATCTTAGGAATTAACTTCAGAAGATGCAGACTCCAACCTTCAGTCATCCCAGTTCCAGATTTGCTGACCTTCAGCCATAGAACCAGGATGCCAAAGACCAGGATGACGCACACCAGACCATCACTGGGCCAGTTTTGAGATCCTTATTGGAATGGTCTCGGCCCCTTGATTTCTTTGTTCTGATTTCCTTCTCCCTCCTTATAAAAACCTCTCCCTGCACTGAGGTGAGGTTGGCTTTGGACAGGAGTCCCCCTTCTTCTCAGGTTCCCGACACTTTAATAAACCTTTCCTTTTTACCAGCACCCGTCTCATGAGTTTGGCTTTCATGCAACAGGCTGAATCTTAGTTTCAGTTCCAAGAGGCTATATAATTTAGGAGCAGCCAGATGGAAGAAATGTAAAGGGCAGGTAAGGGAAAGAAGCACAAAGCTTCCATGCCTTGTCTAGGTGCCCACTCTTCCAACATCTCCATGTGTTCATCTACACAGAAGCTCTCCAAACCCGGTTCCTTTGGGTTTTTATGGAGACTTCAGTACATAGGCATAATTGAACTCACTGACCATTGGCAATCCATTCAACCTGCAGCCCCTCTTTCCTGCCTCGAGGTCAGAATATTCCTACTTTCCAATCACACGGTTGATTCTCCTGGAAACCAGCTCCAAGCCTTTGGGGGTTTCCCAATCATTAACTTATAAAACACTTTTTGTAGCTCTCATCACTTGGGAACTTCTGAGGGTTTTAGGGGCTCTGTGCCAGAAATGGGAATGAAAACCAAATACATCGTTCCTATGATACATCACAGTATCACAGCGAATGTGATCTTTTACCACAGGTCTGTAATTTTTGTGTGCCAATTTCCATATCTTAAATTTATTCCAGGTTCTGTCAAGCAGTTTTCATAAATTTAATTTTTGAAGATAAGGTCTGCAGACTCATTGACTTAAATGTATCACAAGATAAACATTGAATAATATAAAAATAAGAATTTGAGAGAAACTTTTCCCTCCAGTCCAGACATTTTAGAAACAGGTTCTAAAAATCAGCCAGAGTCAGAATCTGGGTGTAGACTGGACAGGAAGAGCTAAAGATGGTAAGTTGGGAGGAATAAGTGAAAAACAGAGAGGGTATATAACCTGGGAACCTTAATATTATGATTTTTTCATCACGTTTCCAAGTTCTGGGTATCATAAATTTGAAATGTGACTATCTGATACACTGAAGAGACATTCAGAAATGGGACCAGATACTCAATTTTAATGTGCCCAGTAAAATGTGACCAAGTTATATTACTGGGGAGCTGCCTGCTTGTGGCTACTCCATTAGGCAGTAACAGGAAGGTGAACTGCTCTGGTCTTTCTGGAATGAGCAGTGCCGGAGTCAGGAGCCTCGGGAGCTAGGCTTGGCCCTGCGGGCACGTTTGTCTTCTCTCTTGGACTAACGCCCACTGGGTCTTACTTCCTATCGTGTAAATATGCTGCAACAGTTAGATACCTTGATGTTCTAGGACTCTCTCTCCCCCTTCCAAAATTAAACTGCTCAGGGAAAGAATATATGTATCTCTGTACCCCTAGGAGTTGGAAGTCAGAAGGTACTGGAATGAATAAATGAATGACTGAAAGAAGTGCAGGGTTCTTGAATTACTGATAACATTGTTCCTATTTTAAAGTATTCATAGTAATACAACTGGATGGGATTAGCAAACTGGAAAACCAGTAAAATCAGAAAACTGGAAAACCAGTCAAACGAACGCTAAGAGGCATTAATAACTCACTAGATGAGCATAGCATATTTGCTAGAGTACAAGTGGTCGGAGGTAACCCTTCAAAATAATTTTTTGACATTTAATTTTAAATAAGGAAACCCCCCCACACACACACCCTTTCCCCTTCTCTCAGGGTTAACCAAAGTATCCAGACTTAGTTACAAACCTGACAAATAAGAATTACAAATTGCCCTGGCCGGTTAGAGCGTCGGCCTGTGGACCAGAGTCCCGGGTTCGATTCCGACCAAGGGCACGTACCTCGGTTGCAGTGCATCCCTGGCCCCGGTTGGGGTCGTGCGTGTGGCAACCAGTTGATGTTTCTCTCTCTCCCCCCCCCCCACTCTGTCTGAAGATAAATGTAAAAATATCCTTGGGTGAGGTTTTAAGAAAAAAAAGGAATTACAAATTATCCAGACTTAGATAGTTGCAAACTGGACAAATTACAAATGGCAAAATGGTGAGTGTTGAATGTGAAGTTTTAATGTATAAAGAGTGATGAGTCGAGTTCATGGGTCAGAAAAATGTTTTAAGCTTTGGTAAGAAATATTTTAATTGCCCTGGCCGGTTTGGCTCAGCGGTTAGAGCGTCGGCCTGTGGTCCAGAGAGACCCGGGTTTGGTTCCCGCTAAGGGCATGTACCTCGGTGGCAGTTTGTCCCCGGCCCTGGTTGGGTTGTGCGGGTGGCAGCCACTCGATGTGTCCCTTTCACGTCGATGTTTCTCTCTCTCTCTCCCCCTCCCACTCTATCTGAACAAAAAATGGAAAAATGTCCTTGGGTGAGGATTAAAAAAAAAAAGAAAGAAATATTTTAATTATTCTGATTTAGATAAGACTGCCCAAATCTTGAAGAAATTGGTGTGTGTGTGTGGCACAGGAATAGGCAAATAAACAATGGTAACATTAGAATTGTGATTAATTAATCCCCCCCCCAAATTTTGTCATTTCAAAAAATAAATGCTCCAGCCTGTCACCAAAAATGACACATCCACCGCTCACTCCGATTTCCAATGTGTCAGTCCCCAGCTACGTCTTTCTGCTCCGGCTACAAATCCCCACTCTTGCTGATGCCTCCTCGCCGGAGTGACAGGCAGCTGAGATCAGAGGGGTTAACGAGACAGTTATTCCTCTGAAGGAATCTGCAGACTGAGAAGGGGTGAAGCAGGAAATAGTGTCCATTTGCCAGGTTCGAGAAGAAAACCAGGGGTCTTGGGTTTTCTGCAGTTTACCAAAGTGCACAGGCTTATTAGAAGAGGTTGGAGTCTTTTCTTGTGTTGTACTTTCAAATAGCAGACATATAGTTTTTTTTTCTTCTTTTACTACTCATAACACTTTATTTTTACTTTGTACAAAATACAAAAATGCAAATCCAAAGAGTACAGACCAGTGACAACAGGCACACTGCACAACAGCAAACCTTGTCTAGCAAGACATTAGATTTTAAAACTTTATTTTAGTGAGTACATGCATTATATAAAACGACGACGACGACAACAACATCATAAACACAAAGAGGCTGGAGATTTCACTATTTCTACCCCCCAAATAATGCTTACTATCAAGACTTTGGATGGGACCAAAAAAAAAAATTTAAAGAGGCCAATAATATATTTTTTCATAAAAATGTATAAGCTACCATAAAATGTCTTTCCCCCCACCCCCGTCACACTGATTAAATTTCTTCTGCAAAGCCATACATATAAACAAAACAAAACAAAAATCCTGAACTGGACAGTAAATACTCAAGAGGGTTGTTACCTAGGTAACCACTCAGTAGTTTAAAGAATCTTTTAAACATTTGGAAGCCTTTCTATTCATCTCAGTACAGTGTTCTAGCCATCCTGACCTTTTTCCCACCTTTAACACATCTTGGAATAGAAATGCTTGCATCATTGAGTCTCTGTTTCTAAGAACTAGTTTTGAAAAAGAAAGTAGTGTACAAAAATATTTAACAGAACTATGAGAGATGTAGGCAAGGAGTCTTTTCTTCATGGCAAAGTTGGGTTTGCTTTGCATGGCTTCTTCTGTATGACTTTTCAGGGTTTGTTTATCTGCCCCATGAATAAGAAGGCACCTACAGAATTGAAAGAAAACAAATGCATGTCTACAAAAAGCAGTTCTTAAAGTAAGATGGAAGGTGTTTTTAAGGGAAGGTCCCTGGGCGGAGTTGAACCCACTGTTCTCGATAGAACTTTCTGCAATGGTGGAAATGGTTTCTATCTTCATGGTCCAATATGGTAGCCACCGGTTACATGTGGCTACTGAGCCCCTGAAATATGGCTGGTGTGACTATGAAATTGAATTTTTAATTATATTTTATGTAAATGAATGGAAAGGTAAAATGAAGTGGGCGCATGTGGCTAGAGACTCCCATGGCGCACTGTTCAGTTGGCTTCACACTAATCATGACGTTATCGACGCAATGGGATGACAGAGTGAGGAGTATTGATTTAAAGAGTAAAAGTGAAACTGTATTAATTTCTACTCCTTACCAACATGAAGCCAACCTTTCCAAAAAGACAATCTTATTTATTCTTCAAAATTGTACTAAGGTGTAGGGAACTACCTGTTATCCTTAAAAAATTGCCTGGTCGGTGTGGCTCAGTGGTTGAGCATCGACCCATGCACCAAGAGGTCACCAGTTTCATTCCTGGTCAGGGCACATGCCCAGGCTGTGGGCCAAATCCCCAGTAGGGGGAATGCAGGAGGTGGCCAATCGATGTTCTCTCTCGTCGATGTTTCTCTCTCTTTCTCCCTTCCTCTCTCTCTAAAATAAAAAAATAAAAATGGAGCTAAAGTTTGAACCAATGACTGATAGAGCCAAGATCGACTGAATTAACAAATCTCAAGTCATAACCATGGAGTGGGCTTACAGAGATTGACGACATCTAGCTTCTCGTAAAACTGTACTGAATTTATTAAAATTAAAAAAAATCAATAGATGTCAAAAGTGCTCCAAAGTGTTGCAGAGATCTCTACATGTTCAAAATGAAACGAAACAAAACAACAAACATATAATCTTGTCCTTGTCTAGAAGATCCCACCACCCCTTGACAACACAGCCCGATTTCCCTCTCTCTCCAAGGTGCGAGTTTCTATTACGTGAAGTGCTTGCGACTGTTGCCCCGTGGGAAACAGACCAACACCAGCACGGCTGGATTTAACTACGATGGCAATCTACCTTGCTGAATTCTACAGCTTGTGACCAGTGGAAGAGGGGGATCACTTACCTGTAGGATTATGTCGGATGAAGAACAGAAAAGGTCTGTCCACTATAAACCAGGGAGGAGATGACCTTGCAATTAGAATTGCGGCTGTGGGGAGAAAAGAAAACACACTGTACCCCCAGCGTGCGGCCAGTAAGGCAGCTGGCCCGATGGATCCCTGATACGGGGCTTTGAGGACACACTCAATTCCTGTCCCAGGGGCTGGCCGTGTCAAAACAGGCCCAATGGTCACCATTTATTGAACACCTGCCGTAGGCCAGGCCCTTTGTATTTACCATCTTGTTTAGTCTACATCAGCACCATCTTTAATCAAAGTACTTCCTCCTTGCAGGGTTTTTATGAGGATGACATGACATAAACATATTGCAACTCTCAGCACAGTGTTTGCCACCCAACAAACACCCAATGCACATTCACTGTCAGTGTTGCTGTTTCGTCTGCTGTCTGCCCTCCTGGTGAAGGCGGCTGGTCCCTTCAGCCTGTCCAGATCCCGTCTGTGTATCAAGGCCCAGCTTCCAGCTCAGCCACTGATCTGTGCCTCTCCCTCCGGCATGATCTAGGTTTCCCTCACCTGGGCGACACAGACCACTCATCAACATCCTACTATGTTGTCCAGCTCATCTTCGTGTAGACATCGGACTTAGAAAGCAAACCTCTTTAGTTCATGGTCTTATACATGCTTACTCTGCCATGCTGAGCACCAGTGGCTTCAATCTGACGCTCCTGTGGCAAGGCCCTGCTGGAGGGCAGAGCCGGGCACAACGGCCCCCTGCTTGCAGCAGTGACCCAGTCCTCTTGTTCAAGCCCCGGAGAGCATTAGTGACTTGAGCTTGATGTTAGAAAGAAAAATCTGCAGCTATCCTGGGGTAAATCGCTCAACCCAGGGTTATTAAAAACAACTCAATAGTTAGCAGGTGTTATGGACTAAACTGAATCTCCTCAAAATTTGTATGCTGAAGCCCTAATCCTCAATATGAGTATATTCAGACATAGGGTCTTTAAGGAGGTATGTATTTAAATGAGGTCATGAAGGTAGGGCTCTAATCCAAAAAAAAAACAACAAACAAACAAGAAAACTGGTGTCCTTATAAGAAAAGAGGGAGACACCAGGGATGTGCTCACACAGAGACGAGGCCATATGAGGACACAGTGAGAAGGTGACCATCACAGGCCAAGGACAGAGGACTGAAGAGAACCAACCCTGCCAAGGCCTTGATCTTGGACTTCAGCCTCCAGAAGTGTGAGAAATAAATTTCTGTTGCTAAGCCACCCAGGCTGTGGTCCGTGTCATGGCAGCCCGAGCAGGGCTGGGCTCGTGTGGGTGTGACCTGGGCAGTCGCACAGGGGCCACACTCACAAGGACCCGCACGTGGTTCAGTGACCCGCTGCTGCCGTCTCGACCTTCTCCGTCAGCTCTGAGCCAGGGGCTCCGTGTTTCATTCTGTGGAGGGCCCTGCAAATTGTGTAGCCAGTCCTGCTAGCTACACTGCTGGGCAAAGCTGGTTAACAACTTTGGCAAAATTCAGATGTCACTTAGAATCACCTAGAAAAGACCGGCGTCCTCTTGAAAATCCCAAACCTTCTTATTCTAGGTCTCTGCTTTAAATGCTACTTTAAAGGAATGAATATTGAATGTTATTTTGCAAAGGCAGTAAAGTGTCTATTGTGGGTATAAATGGTACCTTTTAATGACTAGAAATATTTGACCCAGTTACAAGTGTAGCTGAGATAGTCTCCACTTTATGAGCTCGCAGAGCTTGGCCATACCTCTTCAGGCAGTCGCATATGGATAATTAGGGGTAGAAAGAAAACAACCTAAGATGGTTCTGTTTTCTCCTTCATTATATGAGCCATCAAGGGGGAAGCAGATGTGGGTGAGCAGATGATCAGGAAAGGCTCATGGCTCCATCCGACAGCGGCATGCTAATTCCTCACTGTGTCCCAGATAAACCCGACTGACTAGTTGCCTGGTAGAAAGTGCCACTATGTTGTTTCCGACTGAAGACTGGTCTTTTCTGCCAGTAAGAAGCCAGAACACGCCCTGACCCTCCGAGAACAGGGTGCAGCACACGGCTGTGCTCAGGACAGCGCAGGGGTCAGAGCCTGTCTTCATCGGGTTCCACAGAAACAGCCACGCCCGTTTGCTGCTCTCGTCTGTGCTCATTTGTCCCTACCGTGGTGGAGCTGAGAAGCTGCTTTGGGGACGGGAGGGCCCACAAAGCAGAAAATACATCATTTAGCTCTTTACAGAAAAAGTTTGTCGACTCCTGTCCTAGAGGAATTTCTCTCACCGAAGTGCTTCAGTGAAACGAACTCGGGGCTCCAGGGACACAGGTCCTTGGTCTGTCTCAGTTCCCCACTCTGTCCTGAGAGTCCCCCGACAGCGCCTGACCGGAAGTCACTGAATGGGCCGAGCCGCCCCCCCCACCGCATCAGGACCAGTGTCCCCCGGACCCCAGCTTACTCGTGACTGCTGAAGCTTTGGTTCCATCTTCACTGACTTCGATTTTCGCTTTTTGCAAGATGTGAGAAATATGCAGGTTTTCTGACCCTGTTTCCAGAAAATAAGACAAAAATCAAAAACAAAAACAGCATTTGTTTGCTATGCAGGCCATCTGTTTAGCTGGAAAAGGAACCTCAGCCATGGCAATTCCAATCCTCAAGAGGTGTCAGAGAAGTGACCTCTCCCAGTCCCGGCGATGGAAGGATGGACGGTGACGCCACCTGTGGTGTCTGCTGAGCGCACTGTGGCATCACTGAGGAGGGGGGAGTCCCAGGCCCCAAATATGTCAGTGCCTCTAGCAACTCAACTCCGATCACTAAGAATTTTATAAACAAATAACCACAGTGGAGCTATAAAGAGGAAGCCCGGCCCTGGCCGGTTTGGCTCAGCAGTTAGAGTGTCGGCCCGCAGACCAGAGTCCTGGGTTCGGTTCCCGCTAAGGGCACGTACCTCGGTTGCAGTTTGTCCTTGGCCCCGATTGGGGCCATGTGGGTGGCAGCCACTCGATGTGTCTCTCTCACATCGATATTTCTCTTTCTCTCTTCCTCCCTCTCTCCCTCCTGCTCTATCTAAAGATAAATGCAAAAATGTCCTTGGGTAAAAATTTAAAAAGAAAAAGGAAGCCCAATTATCTAGAAGCTGCAAGCCAACATACATTTTCACTTACATAACGTCAGACACCGCAAGGATTTCAGAAGGCATTTACAGATGGGGAAACTGAGGCCCCAAGTGCTAAACAAAGAAGTCTGCCCTCAAATCACAGGGCTGGCCAGGGGCACGGAGTGCGGGCTTCCCCAGCAGAAGCCGCTCATCTCCCGGCGCATCAGTAAGAGCGTGAGAAGAGCTTAGACTGCTGGGAGGGCCAGACTTAGGAACGCAGTTTTGCCACTGGAACCTTCTAGCGAATTCACTTTCCTTCTCAGCAAATCCTTCCATCCCAGCAAGCCCCGCTGTGGCGGCGTTCAAAGACAACAAAACGGAGGTGAATGTCAGCCCTGGCTGGGGTGGGCCTGGATGCAAACGGAAATAGTGCTTTTTGCATCATCTGGTTTCCTTTTCTTTTCAATTTATTGGGGTGACATTAGTTAATAAAATTATATAGGTTTCAGGTGTGAGGTTCTATAATCCATTAACTGTATATTGTATTGTGTGTCCACCACCCCATCTGGATTTAAATGTCTGCACCGTGGCTCAGCTCTATGACCGACGGTGAGTGAGGCGCACCTTTGCAGGGCCCAAGTCACTGCAGGGTTAAACAGAATGTCTCAGGAGAATTGGGGGTACCTGGTCTCCCTGCTGAACACCTGTGAACTCCCTGGGGACTCTATGTAGTATTTAGGCTATCCGGGATAACCCCGAAGGGGAAAGTGCAGGTTGAAAGCGTGCTTCCCAAACATTACTGGGCTGGGGAATTAAATAAAGTGAAGACTCCGATTTAGTGGGTCTGGGTCAGAACCAACGTTGTGCATTTCAAACAAGCACCCAGTTGATGCGGCCGCTGCTGGACGGGATGAGCGTCTGGCTGAAACATCAGAATATCCGCGGAGCCGCAGTTTCACCAGGGAGGAACGTTTATTCTCAGGACAGGCACCCACTAGCAGGCCTCTGAGTTTGGCAGTGAATTAATTCCTCACTCAAGGGCAAAAATACAACATGGAGTGCAAGTAACGTTTGAGCTATGACTTTCTTTAGGGAGGCGGTTGATATGCTCCAAATAAAAAAGACAAAGGACTGACCATTCCAACATAGCTCCGGGAAAAGGTACCGATGTTGGCAAAGAAGGGGTACCACACCAGATCAATAGGCATGAAATGACAACATACGTATCTGGATATTGTGCATGCCCGCTGTTTGGTGGAAATAAGCAAATATTTGAGAGCCCAAAATATCTTGATTTTTCAAAGGGAAAAAGTGTGCATTAAAAAACAAAACAAGCCCTGGCTAGTTTGGCTCAGCGGTTAGAGCGTCGACCTGCAGTCCCGAGAGACCCGGGTTCGGTTCCCGCTAAGGGCGCGTACCTCGGTTGCAGTTTGTCCCCGGCCCTGGTTGGTAGTGTGGGTGGCAGCCACTCGATGTGTCCCTTTCACATCGATGTTTCTCTCTCTCTCTCTGTTCCTGTCTCTCCCTCCCACTCTACCAGAACAAAAAAGGAAAAATGTCCTCGGGTGAGGATAAAAAAAAAAAAACAACTAATACCTCATTAAGGGCCAAATTTTTAGGTAATAGAGACACTACACAAAATACTTCTTTAACTGTGTAGAATCGCTCAGGTTTCACGGGAAACAAACACGTGATATGTACGGATGACTGACTTATGCTGGTTTAAACGTCTAAGGATCAATAGCATCATTGGAGGATATATGAAATTAAACCCTGGGGAGTTTTAGGGCAGCAAGTTCATAATTTTGACCTTTTCTTTCTGAACAAATCAGAGACTCAGTTTGTAACAAAGTCTTCAAGTCTAAGAATATGTTTTAAACTGAACTTACTTATTATTTTAGCAAAATTTGCCTTTGATGGATCAAACATCTCGGTGATGCCAAGGACTTTCAGCGGCTCCTTCAGATCTGTTTGTGCCGTGGCTGTAAACCTAGCATGAAAGCAGAACGGGGGGAGGGGGGCAATCATTAGACTATAAATGATATAATCAGTGCCAGTGGAAAAAAGTTTGCAAACAGATTCTTTTTAAAGCATGCTCTGAACACCCATCTAAACTGCCCTGTACATTTTAGTCCCTCAAACCCTCAGCTCTCAGCTGGTACCAGCCACGCATACAGTGACAGCGAGTGGGGGTGCTCCCATCCTCGTGGGAAGCAGGCTCCCTATTCCAGTCTCAGGAAGAGCCACAGAAGTAAGTGCCTTCTCTGGTGCGGACGCGAGGAAGCCTGGGGCTGGCAAGTGTCTATTGAGACCGGGGATGGTCCAAAGAGAGGAGATACGTTCCTGCTAGTTCACGGTGGGATTCTGAAAGCATCTTACTGTTAGAATGAGAGCAAGCATTGGGAATAGGTGTCATGATATTATATTTGGGTGTAATACAGGTTTCTTGGATATTTGTGGCTATCGGGCCTCAAGGCCATCCATCTGTCAGCTATTAAATGTATCATCAGAGGATGTTTTCCCAGACTTGATCCCATCCTGCGAGACAGAAACAGGGTATGTGAATGGATTCTCATCACAGATGGACTGGAATGGTAATTTACCAGGATAATTATCATTTACCTACAATGTCATGGTCTCATTCATTTATATCAGCATTGCCTATGTGAAGGCTTATCTTATAACAAAAAAATAATCTTGGGAAGATTACTGATACTTATTATCCATGTACTTGTTTGATTTATTAACTCAGTGACTGAAAATTAAAAGCTATTAGAGCCCTGGACAGTATGCTCAGTGGTTAGAACACCCGCCCATGCACCCAAGGGTTGTCGGTTCGATTTCTGGTCAAGAGCATGTACCTGGGTTGCAGGTTCGATCCCTGGTCCTGGTTGGGCCCATGTGGGAGGCAATCCATGAGTCTCTCTCACAATGATGTCTCTACCCCCCCCATCCCTCCCTCCAAAAATCAATGGGAAAAAATATCTTCAGGTTAGGATGAACAAAAAACAAAACTATGAGAACTGGAAGCTACCACCACCACTGAGGTCTGGGTAAAAAGCCCTGGAGATGGACAGAACACTAATATGAAAACGTTCATAAAACAGGGACATCAGCGCCTCCTTCTCGGGTCTGGGCAGAGCATTCTCTGTCCCGTTCGAGTCAGGATGCAGACAGAATCTGGACTACTTTTCCCTTGGATTCAAGTCTTAACAGCTCAAATTCCATCCATCGTATACTCCCAGGGTATAACAGAAAAACTTCCCCAGATACTAATGTACGAATTCTGCCTGGTGGTTTCTAAACATCTCCTTGCCAGCTAGCTTTTGGACCTTGGCCCTCAGCGACTCCCAGCTAACACTGTAGTAACTCAAATGCCGCTCCTTATTGAAACTCACAACACTTCTAGAGTTGATTGTGATTGTTGTCACTCATATGATGACAGACACGTAGTTTTCAGTCTTTGGAACAGAATGAGATGTTAGGAGCTGGGGGATCTGTGGAGGCTCAGAGGCCTCTGCCTTCTGTCTTCCACCGTCGTCAGTCTGCCACATCAGAGGCACGGGGAGGACAGCACACTCTTCCAAGAGCACAGGCTTGTATCCCTCCCCTGCGATTTCTGCACAATAAAGTGGGCTTCGTGCCGGGCCAGATTTTAGCCTCCTGTCGTCTGGTATCTCACACAATCACTACCAAGGACTGAGCACTGGCCCTGTTTCCTCCTTTGGGGAAAGGAGCTACTTACTTGGGCAGGACGACCTGCACCCTCTTGGGCACCATCATGCTGGTCCAGCTGTCTACGGTCTTGGTGCTGATGTGCGGGATGATGGCCGACAGCGGCGTGGAGCTCTCGCTGGGCAGCGCGATCAGCATGCTGATGCTTTCCCCGTGGTAGGGCAGCTCGATGAAGTTGTACCACAAACCATTGGGGGTGCTTGCTGACCCTAGAGAAACAGGCAGGTTCAGTGTGCCCTCGAGGACTTCCCGAAATGATGTGAGTGACTGCTCATCACTCAGAGGAAAGAGCGATGCAAAACAGCTTCCTTAGAAGGACAAAGGTAAGGACAATGATTTCTCCCTTCCCCATAAAGAGTTCCTTGTCTTCAGTCTAGAATTGTCCAGACAGAATGCCTTTGCGTGGCACTAAAATTACATGAATTCTGTTGAACAGAATTTAGATCATAAAGCACTGGGAATAGTGCTTTGTAAGAAGCTGACCTATGAATAAAGGGATGGATTTGAGCTGTCTTAGAAGGATTCTTCTGGCCCAGCCCACGTGTGCATGTTGAAGAGGAGGGGGGGAGGGGCTAAACAGCTCCCATCGTTTAGGGCCGAGTCTGTGCCAGGCCCATACCAACCACTTCAACACATTTAGAAGCTTGTGCCCCGAGAGGTGGGTATAAGTGGTCTATGTTACTACTGGGAGAGCCACAACTAGAGAGATTGGGTAACTTGCCAAGAGACATATATGGCTAAGAAGTGGAACACCAAGCCCTGGCCGGTTTGGCTCAGTGGTGACAGCATCGGCCTGTGGTCCAGAGAGTCCCGGGTTCGGTTCCCACCAGAGGCACGTACCTCGGCTGCAGTTTTTCCCTAGCCCGAGTTGCGGTTGTGTGGGTGGCAACCATTCAATGTGTCTCTCTCACATCGATGTTTCTCTCTCTCTCTTTCCCCTTCTCTCCCTCCTGCTCTATCTGAAGATAAATGCAAAAATGTCCTTGGGTGAGGATATAAAAAAAAAAAAAAGAAGAAGTGGAACACCAAGACTCAGGCTCAGTGTGTCTGATGTCAATGATCGTCTTCCTACTTCACTACCCCGAGCCCTGCTCACTCTTCATTCATCCGGCAACTGTCATCGGGGCTCGCGGACACTTTGTGGGACTTGTGCTCACCAGTAACAACCCAAGAGGGATTCAGACGGCATTTGTCAGAGAGTCGTCTGGAGAACACTTGCAGCTCGTGAGACACTGGGCCCACGAACCGGGTTCCACATACCAGTAAGTTTAGGAAGCACTGGACCCTTGACGCTTCTTGCAGAAAACATACCATTACTACAAAGGCTCTGAGATATTCTGAAGAAAACTGTTGAACTCCAGTGATTCCCCGGTTTCCCAAACTACTTGGATCTCAGAACCCTTTTATCCCATGTGAAATATTCAAAACATTTAGCAACTGGAAAGCACACCTGAGTATTGCCGAGTGGACTAGGAAGTGTAGTCATGCCCAGCCGGTGTGGCTCAGTGGTTGAGCATCAGCCCATGCACCAAGAGGTCACCGGTTCGATTCCCGGTCAGGGCACATGCCCAGGTTGTGGGCCCGATCCCCAGTGGGGGGCATACAGGAGGCGGCCAATCGATGTTCTCTCTCATTGATGTTTTTCTCTCTCTCTCCCTCTCCCTTCCACTCTCTCTAAAATCAATAAAGAAAAAAAATTTTTGAGACAAAATAAAAGTGTAGTCACGATGGGCACAGGCGAGAAGCCCAGCTCAGGTCGACGGGGCCCAGAGGGTCTGCTGACTCCCTGGGGACAGAGCCTTGGACAGAGCGCACCTTAGGGTCCTGGGAAACCTTCCCATTCGGCATGTAATAAGAGTTATAAAAATTAACAAGGTGAATGGAAAACCCGCGTTCTAGATTTACGGTGGATTTATGAAAGCTTTATTACACATACTTCAAACTGTTCAGGAGGAACTCGGTGACCTTGGTGAGGTTATTTGACCTCTGTGTGCCTCTGAGTATGGAGGATGCAATATCAAAGATTTCAAAAGTGTGACCTCGTGGTGAAATCATTAAATGAGAAAAACACGTAAGGGACCGAGCAGGGCCTGGCCCATGGCGGTGGGTGCCCACCGAGCACTGGCCCCTCTTCCTCCTCCTCTGAATGACCTAGAAAGACGCCATGTTCGAGGAGGAGAGAAAAGAGAAAGTGATTTGCTCCTGATTTTCACTTGTCTTTTCTTTGGGGATGACCTTTGCCAATCGCTGCCCTGCAGACAGGTAGCATCAACAGGCCAGTTCTCCACGGGTGGGGTGGGAGGGAAAGAGTCAGCAGACGTGCCTTTGTTACATAACAAACACTTTTAGCTATAAAATATGATAAAACAGTGAAGCGATTGGAATGTCTGCCACTGCGGGATGGCACTGCAGAGGCCTCTTGGGAAAGGAATACGTGCAACTCGTGCGGGCGGACGCTCCCCCAGCCGGGCCCGTCTCGGGGCTACCTCCGATTCAAAGACAGGACCCCTCATCTCCACCTCACCCTGCATAAGACAGTGGTCTCCACAGAAACTGAAAAATCAATGGAAGAAGGAGGAAAAAAACCCACTTCCTAATAAGCACTTTAATCTTCAAAGCAAACATTAGGTCCCTAGACTGGCAAAGCTAATTTTTAGAAACTGTGAAATTTGGGAAGCAGTTAATAAATGATTACTCCAGGGCATGAAATAAGAACCTGGAGGTATTCATCAACCACTTCTCGAAGTGTTTAATGTTCAGATAAGGACTGGGGTCATGAATAATAAAAACGTATAAGCTGAGTGCGCTGGAGGTGGAGAGACAGCCTCTATGACCACCAGGGAATCTGGCCTCCACTCGAGACATCGCTCACTAACCATCCGGCATCCGGTCACTCATGTTTGCCCAATGACTCACTGCCCCCTGGCCCCGCTTCTGCTTCTGGTCACAGGAGCTGATGACAAATGTCAGCTGGGACCCTCAGAACATGTTTATCTTTACTCGGTGGCTTAAGGATCCAGGAGACAAAATAGCACCTGTCCTCTCCTGCCCCTCGGTCACCGAAGAACTGCCTTTCCAGCGTCATCTTAAGAAGGGCAAGGGCAGAGGTCAAAGACACGAAATCTGGAGTTATAGGACCAGGGTTCGAATCCTGCCTCTGACACACACCAGCTCTGGGACTTGGGCACATTCCTTCGCTCCAGGTCTTGGCTTATTTACCTGTACAATAGGTAACAGTTCCTGCCTTACGGAGCCATGAAAACTACATGCGAATACACGTGCACATGCTCAGCACCGGGCCGCACAAAGCACCGGCTGCCTTCTACCGACATCAGTGGCTCCGTCACACACCTGACTCACGGAGTGCTGGGTCACTGCTCACACAGCCGAAACACAGAATCGATCCAAGAGGAGAAACCCCACAAGCCGCTGATGGGCACAGCCCCTGGGCAGCACGAATCAGAAAAGGAGCGGGTATGTGGAACCTGGTGGCAGGGCAGGGAGCCGGTCGGGGCCTCGGACGGCCTCCTCCGACGGCGTCCTGCCCGGGACCTGCATCGTCTGAGAAGCAGACCGAGTGTCTTCAGGGAGCGTAATTTCTAATGTATATAACAACACGAAGGAAGCAGGCGCATTCATTCTGAAAAGAAGGGAGGATCTGAAAAGGGGGAAAAGCAGCCTTTTCTCTTCGATAAATGGGGATCAACAAATCCTCTAGTGAGAACTGAAAGGCACAGCAACACATATTGAAAATGCAGAGAAGATTTGGAACTTTCTGTCACCGGCGCTTCTGGGATGAGCCGGTGTTTCTGGAAAGCTCTGTAAAATACCGATTCCTATTTGAAGCCCTCCCAGGCGGGAAGTGGTAACTAGGCTCTGTGAAATGTTAAGACCGCTTATCAGCCTGTACAATCAGAGAGAACATTTTAAATATTTAATATCGGGAAAGCCTGATCGATGAACAGTCCCCTAATTACCTTCCGCTGCAAGGAACTTGATGGGTTTCCTGAGTTCTTAAGGAACTGCTCAGGCTACACTTCAGTAGACAGTGAAATACATATTTATCAAAACCCCACAACAAACAGATCCACTCTGTGCAGTCTATATGCAGGCTGGAGCAAATGGAGTTTGGGAGAGTTGAGGAAGTCCTGGTGCCGTCTGCTGAGCCAGGGAAGCAATGCATTTATCTGCAGAACTACAACTTAACAGACAACCAAGGAGAGAAGTAAACAGACAGGTAGGTATGAGATGGAAGCTCAGAGAATGGAATCGAGAAATAAACTCTCGAAGCCTAAATTCATAACCATAAAAACAAAAGGTCTGTAACTACTTGGACTCAGCATTTCCTATTCAAGAAAATGACCCTTAGAAGATCTGGCACAAGCGTCTAAACGTTTGTGTCCAAGAACGGTCGCTGCCATGCTGTTTGTCACTGGGTGAACGTCAGTGGTCGTCCACGGGATATTGTGGCACATGTACACCATGGACTACGATGCCGCCGATTTCGTAGATCCACACAAACTGACATAAGACGGTTTCCAAGATGTGCTGTCTAATGGAGAGCAGGTTACAGAATCTAAATGACAGTGCAATCCTACGTAGGTGAAAAGCCACAGACGTGTTTTAGGTGTCCACAGGCAAGGTCTCAGATGCTATCCCCGGCACTCAGTAGGGGATTTTATGCTGGGAAATGGAATTGTAGGGGAACGTTGACTTTCCGCCATGTATCCGTCTTATCTGAGGATTTTGCAATGAGCATGAAATATACTTCTCCTAAAAGAAGATTTTCAGGCTTTTTTAATAGAAGAGTTTCTATCTTCCAAGTACTTAAACTTTATGGGGCAGAGTCAGAAGGGTTTTCCCCTCCTGTTCTACTGTCCTCCCTTCTCCCTTAACGCTCCTAAGTGAATCTTCCCCAGATGTTGAGGACTCCTTGGGGGGAAGGGCGGAAAGTCTGACAAAAGGGACGGCCATGCTTCTGCGAGGGGACAGTGAACAGTAGGCTTGCGGAGGCCCTGGGACCGTGCAGGCGGCATCAGAGCCCGTGCGCGCGAGTTCGGGCTGGGCAGCCAGGTCTGCCTCAGCCGGGACTGCCCAGCTCCGAGCCCTGGCTGGTCGTGGTGGCCAGCCTGCGACCGGACAGCCGGCTCAGCGGTCTGCAGTGGTGAAAAGGAACGCCTGCGGGGCCCACCACAGGCCCTGGGTGCTCTCCAGCCAGGACAAGACGAACCTGCCCAGTCTTCCCCTGAACAGCAGTGTAATGAAGGGACCACTTATAAAGCACGGGCAGCGGACAGAGAAACCACTAAGGACAGTGCCCTGGGCTACAAACGGCTGGGCACTCGCACCGATCTTAGGCTGGGAGGTGTGAGGAGAGGGGAGGTGACCCAGAGCTTTGGGGTACGCCCTGACAGCAGGAGCTGAGTGAGACCTTGGCGGAGGGATGCAGAGCCCTGCCGGCTGTAGGGAGGGGACTGGGAGGTCAGTGGCCTAAATCCTGTCCCCTCCCTCATCCCTACCACCTGCTGGTTTGCCCCACTAGCCAACCTGGCAGAAAGCCAGAGGGCAAGGGAACCCTCAGCTACAGCCTCTTGGGGGCCAGAACAGGAGAAAAGAGGGTGTGAATCAGGGAGGGTACCCAGCACTGTAGTTCCACAGAGGAGGAACCTTTCACAGTAAGAGTGTATTTTTATACTACTTCCTGTAAAACACACACGCATATTCTTAGACAAAGCAGTTAGTAATTGGACAGTTTCCTGGGACACGTAGCTTCCTCTCTGGGAATATCCTATATACTCAAGAAAAGTGTTCCGTTCATTTCTGTAAACACCAGCATCTGGATCTTCTGGGAATATCTCAAGAATTCCTGCGCTTTCATCTTTGACTATGGACTATTTGTCTTTTTCCCCCAGCAATAGAAACATACCATAAATGAGGGCCTCTCGCTTTTATTTTGTTAGAAGGCACAATGTGAACAGACCGACCTAAATAAAACAGCTTCCCTTGGGTCTGCGCCGGTGGCCACACTGGTATTCCGCTGCAGGCTTCCTGGGCAGCACGGCCTGACAGTGACTTTGGGGGAAAATGAGCCTCTCATCATCCTCAGTTGTTTTGCGCAATCTGTTTCTGCAGGGCTTTTAACTATACATTATCTTTTTTTTTTTTTTTTTTCCTCACCCGAGGATATTTTTCCATTTTTTGTACAGACAGAGTGGGAGGGAGAGAGAGGAGGAGAGAGAGTGAGAAACATCGACGTGAAGGGACACATCGAGTGGCTGCCACCCGCACAACCAACCAGGGCCGGGGACAAACTGCAACCGAAGTACGTGCCCTTAGCGGGAACCGAACCCGGGTCTCTCCGGACCGCAGGCCGACGCTCTAACCGCTGAGCCAAACTGGCCAGGGCTATACATTATCTTTTTAAAAAATTTATTGAGTGAATGGCAAAATTTTGCCAAGAAGGTTGGTGAGGACAAGGGAGAAGGAACGTGACTTTGTTTATGGTGTCCCTCCCATGAGCCATCCCTGGACTTCAGGGATGGGGCAGCTGGAGCAATGCTGAGCAGCGCTGGAAGCTAGTGCCTGCTGGCATGCACGGGCAACACCTGGCACGCACGTGTGCAGGTGTAGGTTGGAGACATCAAGGCGAACTTATGAAGTAAAAAGAACAGTAACTTCAATTGGACCACAAATGCTTCAATAAGACCAGGTTTAAAAAGCAACCACCGGACGGACTTATCTATGCTATAGTAATGACAGCAGAGATGGGTCATTCTTTTTTTTTTTTCCTGATTGCAAAATGGATAGATATTTTTTTTAAATTTCAAACTGAAATCATGAAAAATAATCATTTAAAATATGACCACTGTTACCATGTCACTGAACATCCTCCAACACAGGTCTCTGGAGACGGATGAATACATAGCAAGTATTTTGCATAAATGAGACGGATTAGCACCTGTTGTCCTATCGCTTGCTGTCTGGAATCAGCCACATACGAGAGCCGAGCCCAGCCCGGGGACTCACCGCTCCGGAACAGGGAGAGCTGGGCCAGCATCGGCACTTGGTAGGACTTCCCGTCGGCTGCCACAAACGGACGTTTCTTTGTGTTCTCAGGTCGAAACCGCGATTTCCACAAACCCTTAAAATACAGGGCGTTGACCAGGACCATTCTGGTGAGGACGCCGTCAATGAGGTCTGGGGAGAGCAGACTGTCGATCTTGCCTGTGGAGTCACAACACAAGGAAGCAGCTCAGCATCGGCCGTGCACCCGAGGGCAAAGGCAGCTGCTGGAGCAGGTCAGCGGGATAGTCAAGGGAATTCTTAAACGATTTCAACAGGAATTTTTTACAATTCCCTTTCGTACTTTCTCATTCTTTTTCTCACTAGAAATTAAAGCTGAAAACAAGTTAAAAATCAGAGACCAGGAAAGACTTCAGAGATCCTCCATGCAGGGATCACCAAACTTTTCATCAAGAAATTATTTTATGCCTGTTCCCTATCAGCGCCCTGCTTTAGAAAATTTATCTCGTCCAAATATGCTATATTTAACTATTAATTAATTTCCCTATTTTGACGAATAACTGACATGTATGATGACCAGTGAGGGTTTTGGTCAGCCCCAGACAAGCAGCCGGGTTGTCTGAGCCACTGAACTGATTTAATCCCAGTCAAAATAAAGGAACATTATATCCTGGGCAATGTTATCACAGGCGAATGCTAAATTTCTCTTAAGATTTTAGGAATGTTGAGTGTTAGTTTGTAATCCATGGTTCAAAGCGAATGGAAGTTAAAAGCGGTGTCTATATTTATGGGTCAGGGATCGAGCTAGGTGTTAATATTACAGAGAGAGGAGGTCTGCCCTAGAACTCCTAACTTTGAAGGAAAACGTTCTTCCCAGGACATCAGGATGGTCCACCTCATTTGTGTCAGGAGTGAAGGGGCAGCCACCATGTTCTCGGATGCCCTTGTGATGTCACAAGCATCGTGCAGAGTGCTACCTGGTTCACACTTTGGTCTGTCGTTTAGGTTCCTTTGGCTCTATTTAAAGATTCAGTTCTGTGTGTGTGTGTGTGTGTGTGTGTGTGTGTGTGCGCGCGCGCGCACACGCAAGAAGGATCACTAACACCCAAAGCTGTTAAAAATTAGTTCAATGCAGACTTTAGCACAAGCATATTTTTTAAAAAAAGAGTACATAATATAAATGCAAGTTATGACATATGAGAGTAAAACCAACGGTTTCTGAAGGAGGAAGAATATCTAATTCAGTAGAGAGATTTAAGTCATTTTAAATGAAATTCAAGAAGATTCTCACAATAAACAAGTGTTTAAATAAATCACAGTAGAGAAGCCCACCCAGGTTTCCCTGAGCCTCAGTGTGCTCCGGAAGCCGGTTTCCTGACCGCTCCTTACTTCCACAAGGGGGCACCAACGCCCCCTAATCTCAGGATCGGAAAGAAAATGGTACATAGGCTTTAAATAGCCATCATTCAATACAAGGCCCGCCTCTGGGGAGAGTGTGGAAGGAAATCAGAACTCTGGGCTCCAGCAACAGCAAGCTCCTCAGAGTTGGTTTCCCCATAGTGAATATTTCTTGCCTTTGCTGGGAACATCTTCAGGTCCACCCCCTACCTGCCCTTAAAGACACAGCTCAGTGGTCCCTCTTGTCCACCTTTCTGACCCTCCTACTCATCTCCCTGGAGTCTCCATAAACCCCAATGCTCAGCACCACCATGACACCGTGGCATTTTACTCTAGACAGATGTAATGTGTCTGTCTCCCCGAATGAACAAGGACCCTGTCGTTCACTCCTTAAAAACCCGCCTAGCTCTATGTCAGCATACAGTCAGTGCTCACTAAGTGTCTGAAGAAATCTCTTTAGCCCTTTTTTTTTCCTTTGCTTAGATAAAATCTCTCATTGCCACTGGTAGGATTCTAAGATACTATAAGGAGGCATGAAAAAATAAAGAGAGAATAAAGAAAGAAAGGTGAGAAATGCATAGTTTAGAAAGGGGCACCTGCCATCAACAGGTGCCACACACATGCACCCATCACTCATCCACGTGTCCGCCGTACACTCACCATCCACCTACCCGCCCATCCTTAGAAGCCCACCTCTCGGGTGCCACACACTCCTTTAGATAAGAAAACAAAACAAACCAGCAAAAGAGCCCTGCCCTCGAGGAGCTGTGGATCAGCGGGGTGGAGGCTGACATACATGCCCCAGAAAATGTAGAGCTGCAGTTGTGGCAGTCACCCTGAAGTGGACGCACTCGAGGATGTAGGGCAAGTAAGGGGGATCTGACCTGTCAGAGGTCAGGGGTGGATGGGCTCCTTGAGGAAGTATTAGTTGAGCTAGTGGCTATAAAATAACTCGCACGTGAACATTTGCTAAGTGCCAGGCACTTTGCTAAATGCTTTATGTGTATTATTTTTATCCTTAGTGTTGTTATAACTATTCTAGAATATCACTGTGATATCTCCAGTTTACAGACGAGGACACTGAGGCCCAGGCAGGTTAAGTAGCTTGACTAAGGTTACACAGCCAATAAATGGCAGAACTGAGGCTCAAGCTCAGAACTGATGCTTTTCATCATTCACACTCGTGGGACAGTGTGAAACGAATGGACATTAACCAGGGGAAGGGAAGTGTTCCAGGTAGCAGGAGACAGGTGTAGAGCTGTGTGATGGGAGAGAAGGTGGCTATAAGAGGTGGGCAGGGCAGCCCTTTGGCGCCACCCCCATGCCCCTAGCATACTGGACAGAAGCTCCACCTCCACGAAACAAACTCAGTGGTCTTCACACATGGACGGTTCAACCTCCAGGGTCCTTATGAGACCCGTCTTGTAGACAACTGCTTCTCAGTGGGGCAGTTCACCCCAAGGGGCAAACTTTGGAAACTTGTGGGAGGAGCTTTTCTGGTTGAATGGGCAGTGGCCAGAGATGAGACATGTCCTGAAATTCGAAACAGTCCCAAAACAATGAAGAACGGTCCTCTTCCTGTATAACTTTCAAACACCCTGCTGGATGTTCGTGTTGGTGAGAAATATGCTTATCATTATCTGAGCCCCAAACCCTACTCTTTTTCATGGGAACACGTGACCTTTTGGGGGGCATACCTTTAAGAGTCACCAAATTTGCCAGGAATGTGACTACCATGCAAATCAAGTAGAGACTACACTTGTGTTACTCAGAAGAGCTTTGCACTGTTTCAGCAAACATTGCATCAACAGTGGTAATACTTGTGGGTTTTAAAAAAATAAATTTATATACACATTATTTTCTTATTGATTTTTTAGAGAAAGGAAGAGAGAGAGAAATTGAAACATCGATGTGAGAGAGAAACATCAATTGGCTGCTTCTTGCAAGCCCCTTGCCGGGGATTGAGCTTGAAACCCAGGCATGTGCCCTGACTGGGAATCAAACCGGGACCTCTCAGTCCATGGACGATGCTCAATCCACTGAGCCCCACCGGCTGGGCACAGCTTGTGGTTTTTGTGTCATGGGTATAACGTATGTGTCTTGGTCTGTACCAAGGGGTTTACCTGTTGACCTACATGTATAAATGACTTTTGTTGTTCCTTGTATTACAGTTTGGCATAATACAGGGTTGGGCAAAAGTAGGTTTGTAGTTATGAGTATGCAAAACACAGAGTTTGTTCTTGTATTATTATCTATTAATTCTTGTTTTATTTTCTATACCAACAACTATAAACCTACTTTGCCCCAGCTGGTATTAATTTTTAACATTTTCTGTCCGTTGTGTGTAGGTTATATTTGCTATAAAGTTCATTTCAAGACAGTATTAGAAGTATTTGTTTAAAAAGAGGGAGTTGGGTCTGTGGGGTTGAAAAGCACTAGTCCCGTCGCTCTTGGTGCCCCGGAGATGCAGGAGGCAGTTGGCTGACAGGATGCTCGTCCAAGGGCTCTGAAAACTGTCAAGTGGCATGTGATTTAATGTTACATTGTACAAGAGGAGGCTGGGAGGGCACAGGGAGATGCCACAGTCAAACGGCCATCTAGCATCCTGGATGCCATCAGCTTCCTACCACTGTGCTTAGAACTACAGGCTCAGAAAATCCTCTAAACTCTTCACATTTGTTGGTCTCCCGATGGTTTCATGGTCACACTGTTCAGGGTCCTGTCAAGAAGGGGCGGCATAGCCGAACCTAGACCAGCCCAGCTCTCCTCCGTCCTCCAGAGCCTTCTTTGTCCATCTCTCCACTTGTCCCTTGAATGGCTCTCAAACATTCATGTGTATAAGTCTGATGATGGGTGGTGGAGGTAGATGAAAGAAGAACTTGTTTTAATGTGGAATGTTAGGCCTCTCCCTTGGAAACTGATTCAGTAATTGGGGTCCAGTGCCCTACAGTATAGCATACGCCCCAGGTACTTCTCAGGGAGGTACGTCAGGAACCACACCAGAAACACGATCTGAAAGCCAGACTTTCCCCACGTTTTGGCATTGGGCTTCTCCCTGTTGAGTCTCCTTGGCTTCCACTCCTATGCCCTTAACTCTCCCTTTTATGAAAAGTGGTTCCCAAACCTACATTTCTAGACTTGACTTTTGTTGTTTTGGGACCACCTCTCCTCCCAGATGTTTTCACCTGGATTTCCAGTTTACAAATGAACAGGTTTAAAACGCCGGCATTAGACATTGGCTCCGTTTCTGGAAGAGACGCGGGTAGACAAGTAATCATTACTCGTGGCAAGTGCCAGCATGAAGGGGCACAGAAGAGGCACAGTCACATGTCCATCATCACCAGACAGGAGGCTCCTAATTCCTGAGATGCCAGAAGCTAGAGGCAGGGAATGTCAGAGAGATCACTCCTTAATCTTAAAGGCTGAGAAGGACATTCCAGGCAAAGGAGACAACAGACACAAAAGCAGGAAGGAATGAGCTGTAAAAATTTCAAAACAGACAAGGGCCAGCGGGCAAGGACTCTGGGGATGAGACGCAGGGAGGAACGAAGAGGGTCTGCAGGGCTACATTCTGCCCTGCTTCCCACACCACAGGGAGAAGCACCCCAAGGGACAGGGGTGGCGGCATGGAGGGGCAAGAAAGGCAGGCTGAGCTGTGGGGCCCGCAGAGAGCAGTCGGCGCGGTCCTGGCCCCTCACGATGCAAGGCCGCTGGACTTGCAGACCTGAGTTAGAATCTGTGTCTATCTCACACTTTCATCCACAACATGCAAAAGCATACACAACACTGCCTGGGACCACTTACCCCTGGTCTCGTTTCTAACCCACGCGTTGATGGAATCGCAGGCGGAGGCTGGATCCTTGAAGTTCACGTTCCGGACTTCGCACTGAAACACATCTTTGTTCCGCGTAACAAAAGGCACCTCGATTTTCGAGCCGTTCTTCACAAACATGGCATTAGCCACCGTCACGATGTCCTTGTTCTTCTTGGAGACGATGGCCTTGTTGATCTTTTTTAACGTTTTACCAACTCCTAAGGGGGAAATGGGAAAACGCGGCCATATTTCCACAGCAATTTCCAAACAGTTGTTTTTCAAAATATCTTTTATCTTATGGCAAACAACAACAGTATAAACAAGATAACATGAGTGGCGAGAAACAATGTCTTTTGCTTACTCAGTATCCTCATGTTAAGAAAATGGAGGATAAAATAATTTACAACTATTAATGGCTCTTAAAAAACGGTTATGCTTTGAGCATCAAGCCAGGCACACCCGAGGCATCCTTAGCACCCTCGCCACGCGGACTCCTCTCCTGCAGGACTTTCTAGGTCCCAGGTCAGCGGGCAGCTGGCAAGCTCCTCAATTATGTAGCCATGGAGGGTTCCCTATTCTCTTTCTCACTTAATAATCTTGATTGCTATTTCCTTTCCTGCCAAAGATGTAACAACGTTGGTTCCCTTTTTCTATTTTTGAAACAAAAAGAAACACATAAAACAAGCATTTGAAAGACTATAAAAAATGGCCACATGCCACCATCCAAGAACAATGTGATTTTTACTTGATATCAAGCTCAAAAAAAGTAAGGGGATTAGTTTTAGGGCAAATAAGCTTCATTGTACATGAGCCATCCATCATGCTCCACTTAGCTTCAGACCACAGGAAAGAGAATAAGTTATAAGGATGTAACTTGTTTCTGCAGAGAGCTTGCACTACAGATCCTTCTTACTCGATCTGCAGAATGTCACTGTCCTAAAACACCCTACAAGCCACCTTGATGGTCTTCCGGAGAGTCGACTTGTCACTGATAGAGTGTTTCTTCTTCTGACCCTTTAAACCAGGGCAGGGGAGGTCCTGAGAGACCCGGGTTCGGTTCCCGCTAAGGGCGCGTACCTCGGTTGCAGTTTGTCCCTGGCCCTGGTTGGTCGTGCGGGTGGCAGCCACTCGATGTGTCCCTTTCACATCGATGTTTCTCTCTCTCTCTCTGTTCCTCTCTCTCCTTCCCACTCTACCTGAACAAAAAATGGAAAAATGTCCTCTGGTGAGGATGAAAAAAAAGAAAAAAACAGTTAAACCAGGGCAGGGGAAAGACTCCCAGGATCCGTGAGGAGGTGGCCCTTAAGCCTTAGGTCTCCCACGACTCTCCTGCTCACAGTCTGTGGGGCAGGCCGGGCAGGAGGGGGCGGGCCCGGCAGGAGGGGGCGGGCCCGGCAGGAGGGGGCGGGCCCATTTTATAAGTGAGGCAACAGCAAACTTCAGAGGCCAAGTCCCAGGCCTGGCCCTTGCAGCCACAGGGCCCCCACACGCCCGGGCTCCTGCTGGGAAGAGATCAGAGACGTTTCCTCCTCTGCCCCCCACTGTCCCGCCTCCATCCTCAAGAGAACATCAGGTAGTGAGTCCTCGGAGGCGGAGCCAACAACCACTGGCCTCCCTTGGATCAGTGTCTCAGACACGGTGGTTTGGGAGGAAGAAGCGGGGGCACATTGCTGACAGGCCACTATCATCAAAACTTTAGAAGTCCTGCTTAAAATGAGCATGGCTCAGCATTAAAACCAACAACAAAAACCCAGTTGCTAGTTTTGAATTGGATTGGCTGACAGATGGCCCTCAATTCTAGCAGTGACTCACGGTGACATGACAAATCACCAAGGGGTTCTGAACTGAGCAAGGGCAGAACAGTGCTTCCGACAGGTGAACGGACAGCAGACCGGAGCAAGCGTGAGTGCTGTGTCCTCAGGGCAGGGAGGCGGGCCCTGGGCGCCACCGCCGATGGCCGGGGGCATGAGTCCCGCCTCCCTTGTCCTCCTCTCCAGAGGGGGACACACTCAGGCTCCTGGACGGCCTGGCCAGCAGGAGTGGGGGCACACGGGCAGAAAACATCTGTCATTTTCCAACAGTCACGAAGACCTACGTGTGAGCAGTGACTGGCTCAAGGTCACAGTGCCCTGGAGGGCTCGATGCTGGCCCCGCTGCCTGGTCCCTGCCTGTGGAAGTGGCAGGTGGAAGGTGACTCTGGGCGAGAAAACAGCAGCGATGGGACATATAGGCTGTTAGGTTAGGTTTCAATAGGTGATTTAAAAACAGGGTTTTCTTTCAAGAAAGCTAAGCCTTTTCCATTGGGCCTTATTTCGTAAAAAAAAAAAAATTTGTAGCTTTTATTTTGAAATAATTGTAGCTTCACAGGAAGTTGCAAAACAATGTATATGGGGGTCCCATGTACCTTTACCCAGTTTCTCCATTGGCGACATTATGTATGGCAATGCCACAACCAGGAAATTGCCATTGGGACGGTCCACAGAGCTCATTCAGATGGCGGGGGCGGGGTGGTGTGTGTGTGTGTGTGTGTGTGTGTGGCTTTTATGCAATTTTATCCCCCAGGTAGATTCACACGTCCACCACAGTCAAGACACAGAATGGTCCCATCACCACAAGGCTTCCGAGTGCTGCCCTCCGGGCCACACCCGCCCACCTTCCCAGGTGCCATTTAGAACGTGCATCCCCAGCTGTAACGCATTTCTAGCCCCGTGGGCCATGCAGGTGGACAGACGTGCAGTTTTCATGCAGTTTTCTTCTCGGAGATGAGAACACTCAGAGGCAAAGGGATCGGCCCAAAGCCCCACAGCTACAGAACGAGGGCCAGAGCCCAGCTCTCCGGACTCCCAGTACCCCATCAGTGCTTTGGGGCACACTGGCCTAAGCCCCAGATGCACCAGGGAAACCCCGCCAGAGAAGACTCAGCAAGGGCCCCCCTGACGAGGGACACCTGCCAGGCCCCCGGGGCCAGAGCCCGGCGCACGCACCTTTCACGCCGTATCTCATCGCCGCGGTGAGCTGCGCCTTGGTCCGGCCGTCGGCTCCCAACTGCAGCATCCCCAGGACAGAGGCGATCCCGTGGGGGGACACGACGATGTTGTCCTGAGGCCGGGATTTGACGATCTGGTTGAAAACCTGGATTCCTAAGTCGGAGCCGAGCTCCTCCAGCGGCTGCGGGTTGAACTGGAGGCAGGCGGAGGGCAGAGTCACCGTGACCATGAGGAAGAAGGGGAAATGCCAAGACATGGCTCCTGCTGGCCAGGCCAACCTGAAGGTCAGATTCAAAAAGAAGAACACGTAAATTCCACTGAAATGAACACTTTGGGGGACGGCTCTGCACGCAACCAGACAGGATTTACTGTTTTCAGTATAACGGAATACCTTCTTAATATAAATATATATCAAGAAAGAACAGCACAGATGGAACTGGTTTTGACAATATGCTGTTGGGGAGATGGCGAAGGGGAGGAAGGAAACTTCTGCCTGGTAGGTCCCGACTCTGTGCCAGGCACCGTTCTAAGGGTTATTTATCGCTCATAACCACCGCTCACTCAATTAGACCAACACTGACTGAGTGCCGGCTGTGCCAGGCCCTCGCCTGCTGGCTGGGCATGCAGCTGTTCAAAACCAGCAAGACCTCTGCCCTCCTGCGTTCCATTCCAGAGGGAGACAGAAAATGCATCAGGAAGCAAGGAAGTGACCTCGGAGGAAGATCAGGCCCAGGACAATGACAAGCGACGCCAGCAAACGACAGGCTGCGGTGGGGCAACACGGGTCAGGGTTGTTGTCAGAAAAGCCTTCTCTGCGGAAGGACGTGTGAGGTGAGACCTGGGCGATGAGAAGGCCCAGCACTGCTCTGAGCAGGGTTCGGACGGGCCTGTCAGGCAGACGGCGGGCAAGGCAGGGGCCTGGAAGTGGGGGTACACCTGGGGTCAGAGGTGGGGGTGCCTGCGACATAGGGAACCTGGAGGAGGTGAAAAGAAGGAGGGGCGGATCCTGAGGGGCCGGCAGAGCCTGGTAGGGCCCTTGGATTTCATTCTAAGGGAGAAACCACCCAGGTTGCCATGATTACCTTTGAACTATACACCCTATACTTGATGTTTTCACATGAACATATTCCTCTCAACTAAAAAATCTTTAATTAAAATAAATTTTAGCGACTCCCTTAAATCTATGATAGGGCAGAAAATTGGTAAACTTATCAATTGTGAGGATGGACTGTTTATGCCAATGATTTCAGTTATGGCGATTTTTTAAAATGTGCTTTCTTTCTTGATTACCATTTACTGAATTCTCTTGGGCTGTGACAAATAAGAGGTAGGACACTTACACATGTTTATGAAAAAGCAAATACTTTCATTCAATAAGAACCTAAACGTGGCAGCCAGTAAAAAAAAAGCAGAATTTGTGACGTGGCTAACTGGTTCCTCCCGTCTGGACAGAAGCCCCGGTGAGGCCCGGTTCCCACTTGGGAGGTTGGGAGTGTCTGCAGAGAGCAAGAAAGAGGGGGCCTCTTAGGAGGTAAGTGCTCAGGAATGAAAGAAAGGGCACTGGGCCCCTGAATAGACAAGTGGATAAAAAAGCTGTGGTCCATTAACACAATGGAATATTACTCGGCCATAAAAAAGAAGGGAATCTCACCTTTTGCAACAGCATGGAAGGACTTAGAGGATATTGTGCTACGTGAAATAAGTCAGAGAAAAAAAAATACCTTATGATTTCACTTATATGTGGAATCTAAAGAACAAAATAAACCAAACAGAAACAGACTCATAGATACAGAGAACAGACCAATGGTTGCCAGAGGGGAGGGAGGGAGGTTGGGGGCCTGGATAAAAATGATGAAGAAATTGAGAAGTGCAAATTGGTAGTTATAGAATAGTCACAAAGATGTAAGTTATAGCATAGGTAATACACTCAATAATGTAATAATAACTATGTACGGGGCCAGGCAGGTACTTGAAATATCAGACAGAGGGAACTACCTTGTAAAGTACATGATTTTCTGCCCACTGTGCAATCCAACTGAAACTAATACAGAATAATGCTGAATGGAAACTGTAATGGAAAAATAAAAAGTGAAGTAGGTGGGACTTTAGAGATTAAAAAGAAAGAAAGAAAGAAAGAAAGGGCCCAGGGGCAGCATTAGGTGAAACTGGCATCTGATGTCCCCTCACCTTCCTTTCTATGCACCTGTCTCCTTTCATCTCCAGATTGTAGCAGATGCTCAATAAATACACAAGGGATTAAACCTGATGGCTCATGTATTTTCTACTTTCGCTCATTCTCTTTCATTGCACCGAAGTCCTACTTACTGAGCGTGACTAGGAAAATGATTGTTGAGTCACTGTTGGTGCCACACACTTTCCAGGGATGCGAAATCCACGGGGTGAGCAGAGGGCTGGCAGCAGGGGCTTCCCGCCTGCCACCAGCACCCTGGGCCACGGGGTGAACCACCAAGGTCACCGTTCCAGATGATGTTGCAATTTTCTTTCATTTTGTGAAACAAGCACATTTTTCAAAAACTTTAGAGCATTTGGGGCTTCTCCAGAGCTTCATAGTAAAATAACTGTGCAAAGGCAGCCTGTCTAAATTCAAAGCAGGCAACTGACCTACATACCCTCCTACTGGGGGCTTCCCTATGGCCAGCGTGGCCTATTTTGATTTTGGCACCTAGGACTGGTTCTAATACCATGACAATCCCAAGTGTCTTTCAGCCTGTTGGATGTTGGAGAGCTTCCAAATCCCAATTATGGAAGCTTTGCTCATTTTAGCTAAAAATTAGACATTGTGTCTGTCTTCCCTCTCTCCCTCTCCTCCTTCCTTCCCTTCTTTCTTTCTTTTTTTTTTACTGGAAATTTCTTCTTTTAAAATGAAATAGACCAAAAGCCATCATAAGTATAAAACGAGCTGTACAATATTTGTTACAAATGGTCAAGTCCAATAATTGGTGCCAACTTCATCAATCGGAATTGCTGACTCTTGCATTGTTGTCTATTCTGGCTTCTACCTTCAGTATGCCACCGAATCTATACCCCCTAAGCCTCCTAAAGAAACCCTCCTGGATTAGCACATATTAGAATAAATATTTGAATCTGCACACTCATAAAGGACATCAAATTGGTTTTGCCTCTGATACCTCACAGTTGATTCACCTAAATGCTATAGATAGATCTATGTAGGAGACTGTAATACAGGTAGAAAGAATCAGTAACAGATGGAAATTTAACAGCTCCAATGTCTTAGAGTCGACAAAAAGACAATCTTCCAAATAAAGAGCCATCTTATTTAGCAGAATTTTGCTGGGTTATGAATTATGAAGTGGGGGACGGATGCCATGGGTGTTTCTCTCGGCTTCTTGGATTGGGGAAGTTTTTGGGAGATGACTCTGTGCGGTTTCGTAACAGTGTGTCAGGACAGTGTCAGGGCTGTGCAGAACTTGGACTCAGAGCTAGCTTTGATGGATATCCTGGACATAACTTCTTCCTGGCCTCGGTTTCCTGGGCTAACTGCTCACTCGTCTGAACTCACCTGGCTTATGTGCACGTCTGAGACTAAGCTTTTACTTCTCTCCAAAGTTCCACCGCCAGGAGAGTGGATGCCGACCCACGAATTAATTCAGGCTTATAAAATTCCTAGTACCGATACATATTCATGTCCAAATAGACAATATTTTACATGGAATAACCGTTGAAATTTTCAGGCTTTGAAATGCTTAGTCTCTGGAGGACAAACGGATTCTCATTACGGGAAGAACTAAGTAACCCCCTGTTTATTTTTAAAAGAAATTACACTTTAAACTTTCAAATAAGAGAGAGAGAATCAAGATGTTATACAACTGGACTACATTGCATCAATATGTTTCCCTTTTAAAAAAAGATTTTTCTTTGATTTTAGAGAGAGGAAGGGGGGAGAGAGAGGGAGAGAGAGAGAGAGAGAGAGAGACATAGATGAGAGAGAACATCTACTGGCCACCTCCTGTATGCCCCCTACTGGTGATCAGTCTGCAACCTGGGCATGTGTCCTGACCAGGAATCGAACCGGCGACTCTTGGTGCATGGGTGGATGCTCAACCACTGAGCCACACTGGCTGGACTGTTTCCATTTCTTGAGTAATCTTTTTCATACCAGTAAAAAATTTATTTTAAATTCTAGTTTAAACCATCAATGGAGAACAATCATAAACCTATAAATAAAGCCATCATTACAGACACATCCTTCCAAATGTGAGTTTCTCCTTCCCCACAAACTTCCAGTCTCTCTTCCTCCAGACCTTTCCTTCTCAGTGCGGGAATGTTTTCGAAGGAATGGGTACTGCTTCGAGCTTTACAGGAGATTTAGTGGAGTGAAGAATCGTTGGCAGTTCTGCGAAGGCCGGACTCAGAGAACATCCCTACTGATAAACCAATCAGCGTAGAAAGTGAAGCTTAATTTCAACCTAATAAATTCTGTTTTACAAAATAAAATAGATTTTTTAGGTAACACACGAGCTAATGAGATATCTACCGGCTTTATTTGCTCTAACAACTAAGATGAAAACAGTTTGGGGAGAAAAAACACTAGACTTTTCTGGCTCCAACTCTTAGCCAGACGACTCACCTCTGATTTAGCAGGACCCACAAGTGTCTGAGAGTGGAGAGTACGCCATCCCTTTCATTCTCTAAAGAATGTCTACAGTGATACATGTTGTTATAAATACATTTTAAATCCTTATGTCCTGAAAGATTTCCAATATATGCATCAATAAAATAAACCCCTAGTACCCAATATCCAAATAAAATAATGATCAGCTTATGGCCTATTTTATTTCTTCTAAAACAAAAATTGTTTTGAAACAAATTCTAAATATCATATAATTTAAAATATTTTCAACACATACTCTAAACCTAAGGAATATATATATTCTACATACACATATATATCTGTGTGTGTGTGTCTATCTATATATAGATAGATAGACACACACACACAATATCATTATCCCACTCAAAAATGGATAATTCTTTTGTTAAATATCTAGTTGGTGTTCAAATTTTCCTGATTCTCTTCTATTTTTTTTAATATTTTATTTGAATCAGGATCTGAATAAGGTCTACACAATGCAAGGGGTATGTCCCTTGTCTTTAAAAAAAATCTTCCTCTAGTTACTTTATTTTTAACTTTTTCCTTGGAGGTTTGTGATTGAAGAGCCAGGTTATTTGTCCTATCGAGTTTCCCAGTCTAGATTTTGTTAGCTGCATTCACGCGGTGCCATCTTCTGCACTTCCTATAAATCGGTGGACCTGGAGCAGGGGTCTGCACGCTCCTGGATGCGACCTGGCCACCCTCTCTGATCTGTCTGTGGCTGTGTTCAAGCTCCTAGGGTGGACCTGGAGCAGGGGTCTGCACGCTCCTGGATGCGACCTGGCCACCCTCTCTGATCTGTCTGTGGCTGTGTTCAAGCTCCTACGGTGGACCTGGAGCAGGGGTCTGCACGCTCCTGGATGCGACCTGGCCACCCTCTCTGATCTGTCTGTGGCTGTGTTCAAGCTCCTAGGGTGGACCTGGAGCAGGGGTCTGCACGCTCCTGGATGCGACCTGGCCACCCTCTCTGATCTGTCTGTGGCTGTGTTCAAGCTCCTACGGTGGACCTGGAGCAGGGGTCTGCACGCTCCTGGATGCGACCTGGCCACCCTCTCTGATCTGTCTGTGGCTGTGTTCAAGCTCCTAGGGTGGACCTGGAACAGGGGTCTGCACGCTCCTGGATGCAACCTGGCCACCCTCTCTGATCTGTCTGTGGCTGTGTTCAAGCTCCTACGGTGGACCTGGAACAGGGGTCTGCACGCTCCTGGATGCGACCTGGCCACCCTCTCTGATCTGTCTGTGGCTGTGTTCAAGCTCCTAGGGTGGACCTGGAGCAGGGGTCTGCACGCTCCTGGATGCGACCTGGCCACCCTCTCTGATCTGTCTGTGGCTGTGTTCAAGCTCCTAGGGTGGACCTGGAGCAGGGGTCTGCACGCTCCTGGATGCGACCTGGCCACCCTCTCTGATCTGTCTGTGGCTGTGTTCAAGCTCCTACGGTGGACCTGGAGCAGGGGTCTGCACGCTCCTGGATGCGACCTGGCCACCCTCTCTGATCTGTCTGTGGCTGTGTTCAAGCTCCTACGGTGGACCTGGAACAGGGGTCTGCACGCTCCTGGATGCGACCTGGCCACCCTCTCTGATCTGTCTGTGGCTGTGTTCAAGCTCCTAGGGTGGACCTGGAGCAGGGGTCTGCACGCTCCTGGATGCGACCTGGCCACCCTCTCTGATCTGTCTGTGGCTGTGTTCAAGCTCCTAGGGTGGACCTGGAGCAGGGGTCTGCACGCTCCTGGATGCGACCTGGCCACCCTCTCTGATCTGTCTGTGGCTGTGTTCAAGCTCCTACGGTGGACCTGGAGCAGGGGTCTGCACGCTCCTGGATGCGACCTGGCCACCCTCTCTGATCTGTCTGTGGCTGTGTTCAAGCTCCTAGGGTGGACCTGGAGCAGGGGTCTGCACGCTCCTGGATGCGACCTGGCCACCCTCTCTGATCTGTCTGTGGCTGTGTTCAAGCTCCTACGGTGGACCTGGAGCAGGGGTCTGCACGCTCCTGGATGCGACCTGGCCACCCTCTCTGATCTGTCTGTGGCTGTGTTCAAGCTCCTAGGGTGGACCTGGAGCAGGGGTCTGCACGCTCCTGGATGCGACCTGGCCACCCTCTCTGATCTGTCTGTGGCTGTGTTCAAGCTCCTAGGGTGGACCTGGAGCAGGGGTCTGCACGCTCCTGGATGCGACCTGGCCACCCTCTCTGATCTGTCTGTGGCTGTGTTCAAGCTCCTACAATCAGCAGAACAGAGCTGCCCAGCTGCAAAAGAGATCAGATGACCAGCAAAACCACAAACATTCACTACTTGGCTCTTCGAAGGAAGTGTGTCACCTCTGCCCCAGAGGCTGATCAGATTCCAGTTTCTTTTTTTGTGAGATTATTTCATAGAGGTGCTCTACCTGGTGCTGGAGGAAGACAGTGGCCATTTGTCTTTTTTTTTTTTTTTTTGGTAACGTCAGCAGCTACTCATGATCATCGCTTAAGTGCACTGTTTGATCAGGGGATGCCCGATGGTGCTACTGTAATTCTAACTTTCCTTTTTCACTAGTTGGAGCACTTCTATACAAAGGAAGTTTCCATAACCAGCTATTTGGTTGTCCTGCAGTTCAACTTGTAGGAGCAAAGGCAGGGTAAATACTTGAGCCCTTCCCTATATTGTTCTCACAACAGTTAGTTAGTTGCCCAACACTTTCAGAGTTTGCCAGAGTGTTTTTTTCCCATTTGTTTTCTCAGTATAATTATAAACTCGTGTTTTTAAACATATTTTAAGGGTCTTGATCCACTAAAATTTTATTATCCTTATTGATGTTCAAGATGAGCCTCTTCACGTTGGCTCACACCACCTGTAGTTGCATTAGCTTCTTTGTTTTTTGGTTTTGACAAGATACCCCAGCCTCATTATGCCTGTCCTGGGTGGAATCAGCCACTTTTCTAGGGGGCTCTAGTTCCTTTTCGTGGGAGTCAGTATTTAGAGACCACCATCTGAGAATGCTTGCCTAATAAACTGTAAATTAACTCTGGGAATACTGGGCATTGCTAATGTGGAAAGTCCAAAATGCATTTACATCACTCTCTGGACTATAACCAAATACAGAAATTCAAATGATGAGAGAGAGAGACTGCTTCCCTATGAATCAGCTTGCCTCCCAGGCCATCCAGCCCAGGGGAGGCACGCTGGTTGATGAAAAGTTGGGGGACGGTGCTGGGCACGGAGGTGGGGTCAGAATAATCAAACTGGATCACCCTCATGTGAAGGCTGCGAGTCCCATCCTCAGTGTGGGATGCTCACGATGCCCGTGTCTGAAATGAACTGGCACACAGCATGACAAGGAGAGTCCCCTAATTTATCTCGGGGGGCGGGTATGATGACCAGCCCCAGCCCCCTCAATGAAAGCTGACATTTCCTCACTGTCATATCCATCTCTCTCTGTGTGTCTAGAGCCCCTTATTATTCTGCTTTTGATTCCAGGAGGCAGAGAAAAGAAGACACCAATTATATGGAGAATCATGACGTCTGCCCACGGTTTTTCCTGACAGTTTTTCTTCCCAAAGAAATCAGTGTAAAGCGAAGGTATCAGGCTGCCAAACTGAGACTTCTAAGTGGCCTTATGCAGGACTGAGCTGCCTGGCAGCCATGTCATATGTTTCTCACCAATACTTTTACCCACAGGCAAAATCTAGCTCTTTGGGGTGTCCGGCAACAGGTAGTCTAGAGACTTTCAGGGGTTGACCCACAGACAACTGGGGTTGAACCTCAAATTCGGCCCTCTAATGGGCAGAGGACTCTGGTCTCTCAGACCTCTGCAAACATTACTGAGTTATGTCCACCCAAACCCGTCTTCATTTTCCAAACATCTGCCACATTGTCTTAAGGCAGAAAGTTAGATGCACAAGCAAAAGTCAAGTGCATTTTGGTACCCTGGGAAGTGTGTAAAATGTTATCAGAATGAGTCAGCATCTTTAAAACTGCAGAGAAGACACAGGAAACACTGACTGATCAAAGTGATGGCAGCCGGATGGTTTTAAACGCCCTCTTTCAGGCTACGGGGAAAGGCTTACAGACCTCTTCGAATTTTTTCTTAAATTTCTATCAGACTTCAAAGTGTGTACTTGATCTATGATGCTAATTAATCTAGCTCAAAATGAACTTAAAGGGACCCAGGAAAAAATGCTCGGCCACTGAAAGGTATGGCAATATCTTAAAAGTTCCCCCTATGAAGAGACACATATTTTATTAAATATACTCTGACATTCAAATGCCTTTTATCCACATATCATTCGTTTGAGGAAAACGACAGTAGTTCAGGCTTTGTTAGGTATCTATCTTCTAAAATACAAGCTTATGAAACATGTATTCCCTTTTCCTCTAAATGTGAGGGAAATGTAAGGTTCGAATTCCAGTTCTACTATCAGCTAAGAGCTCCAGGGCAAGTCACAATCTCCATCCCCCTCGGCTTTCTCTTGCACCATACTGGACATCAAATTTCCAGGGTGCTCATGGGAATTTCACGAGCACAGACAGAAGGACGGACAGTAACTAGCACAGTATCTGGCTCACAAGCAGGTGCTCAGTCAGTGTCGGCTCCCTTCCTCGTGTCTTCAATAGTCAAGACCTGAAATAGCCCCTGATTTTTTTACTGCAACAGCTATTTAGAAAGTCTGGAGGATCGAGCTAAGAAAATGGGTCAAACACAACTCTTCCATCTTAATAAAGCCCTGTCTGTATCTTTGTAGCTTCCCTAGACTATTCGAGACATAGACTAAGACCTTGCTGGTGTGTTTTAATGTCTCTGTAAGAGGATCATGATGGGGGTGGAGGTGGGTGCATATGTTCAAAAAAAACCTTTACTGGTGCTAACATATGTTTTTCAATCTACTGACTTATGTCGCTAAATCTGTTTTATTTATGGTATCAAGTCCTACAGACTTTCTCATTGACAAATCTTTAAGATGCAATAGTTGAAATGGGTAATTTCCTCATCAGTAGCCGAGAGATAATTCAAGACAGTATGGTGATACTGACCAGTGAGTCTCAATCTTTAAAAGAAGGTGGCACCTTTTTAGACACAAAAAAGTATTCAACTTGGTAACCAATTATATTTTTAGTACTTGTAAAAATACATGATAAAAAACGATGACGAATTCATAAACACTTCAATAAATTGCAAACTCTTTTTTTTCTACAACAGCATCTTGACACATTTCAGAAATCATACTTTGAGATTGTATATATTCATTCTATACTCAAAGCTGGACCATGAACATGACCTTTCTGATGCTTCAGAAAAACTCTGATGTTGTTGATGAGACCTCAATTAATAGCTGAGAAATTGATATTCTCTAGAGTGTTGCTAGCAAAAAAAAGATGAGTAAATGTTAGAAGTGTAAATTGATTAAAATCCTTCTGAAAGGCAATTTTTGGTACGCATAGTCTTAAAAATGTATATACCAATTAGAACAATAATACCCCGTCTGTCAATCAACCCCGTCTGGTAATAATAAAAAAGACTTGGGTCGCCCTGGCCGGTTTGGCTCAGCAGTTACAGCGTTGGCCTGCGGTCTGGAGAGACCCGGGTTCGGTTCCCGCTAAGGGCACGTACCTCGGTTGCAGTTTGTCCCCGGCCCTGGTTGGGTCGTGTGGGTGGCGACCACTCGATGTGTCCCTTTCACATTGATGTTTCTCTCTCTCTCTCTCTCTCTCTCCCCCTCCCTCCCACTCTATCTGAACAAAATATCAAAAAATATCCTTGGGTGAGGATAAAAAAAAAAGACTTGGGTCTAGAAATGTTCACCGTATAGTTATTTCGAATGACAAAATCATTACAGTCTTCTTTGCAATAAATAATTGTAATAGCAATGATCACTGCAACCTCGACTTCCGATGGAAGGGACACCAGGGGTGACCTCTCACCAGCTTTGCACCTTTCTCCAGCTTTTGTGTGCTTTGTTGCTAATAGTCTGCTGCTGTCGCCTTCAGAGAACTGCTGCTGAGAGACCATTTTCTTAGGGGGCTTCCGGGGGCTGGGAGCAGACATACACCGTTCCTCTACCCCACAGGTCAACAGCCACTGACTGCCGACTGTTCTGGGGGTACGAGAGCCCAGCTTCTTCACCTCGAGGTGGCACAGATCACCAGAGCTCTTCAGAATGAGGCCGAGTAGGGGACTTCGCCAGATAGCCCTCCTTGGTCGGATGCTCCCCTTTCTAATACCCACTTTCCCCACCATCTTACTATGTCACCTGGGGGCCTTCCTCAGTGGATCATTTGCACTTTACCCTTGGCTCAGGGATGCGTCTGGGAGACCATGACCCATGATAGCCAACAAGGGTCAGTTCATGACACCCACCTAACACAGTATCATAAAGATATAGTAATATATTCTGCATAAAAACGGAAAAAAAGAAAGCTGTGGTATAATTAACTATGTAAAAGTAACACACAGGCACACGCGCACACACGCACACACACACATACACACAAGATTAGAAAGATGAATATCGAGGTATTATCTCTATACTTATTTCTGATGGTGGGAATATGAGTATCGTTTATTTTTCTTTATACTGTTCTGTATATTTTTAAAAATTCCTACAATGAACACATCACTTAAAACAGGCACCCCTTTTCTGTTTATAAAAACCCCGAGCGGAAACTCTGGCTGAAATGTGCAGCGAGGAGGAGCAGAGAAGTCTGCAGAGCACAAGAACAGTGGTTCAATCACAGGATCGTAAAAACCTGAATGAAAACACGCAGTGGCTGGAAAAACAGGAGGGGCTGGGAAGTTCAGCGAGGGCCCCTTACATATGCTTACATGCATGCTACGCCCCATTACGCCCCAGACCATTTCAGATGAAGTTTTTTCAGTAAGTGCCAGTTCTGTTTCGATGCACATGGCTGGAACCATTCATGTGACTAAATCTACATGTTCGATATGTCATGGCAGGGATTATAGCATATTAATTTTTTTATTCCCTGAGGTTAGCATAGTACCCAGTGTAGAGTAGGAACTCAATAATGTTTATGAAATAAATTGTAGCCCATTGGAAATGAACTGATTCTGTTATTATTTTAGGCAGCAGTAAGTTTTATTGCTAACTTTAAAAATCTCCACTGGCGTCTGACTGGTGTGGCTCAGTGGTTGAGCCACAAGAGGTCGCCAGTTCGATTTCTGGTCAGGACACATGCCCAGGTTGTGGGCCAAATCCCCAGTGGGGGGCATGCAGGAGGCAGCCAATATATTTTCTCTCTCATCAATGTTTCTATCTCTCTTTCCCCCTCCCTTCCTCTCTCTCGAAAATCAATAAAGAAAATAAATAAGCAAACAAACAAATAAATAAATAAACAAAAATCCCCACTGGCTTCCAACTTGTGGAATGCATTCTTCAGTGCTCAAGAACAGTGGCCATGTTTACGGAGTGTCTTCCATGTGCCAGATGCTGTACCTGGGCTTCAGACACTCACCGTCTAGCCGAACCCTTGACTTGAGAAGTAGGCATGAGTATTTCTATTTGACAGATGATGAAAACGGCAGTCCAGAAAAATGAAATAACCTTCCCAGGTCCCACAGATCATATACGAGGGGTCTGAACACGGACCCTCTCGGCCAATGTGTCAAGCTGCCCTTGTGATGGCGTTTAAAGGGCTGGCCCAGGAAGAGGTGAGGTAACACAGCCTCTTTCTACCTCTCTGTCCTGTGCTTACATCATCAGCTACTCGGAGTAAACAAGTGACCACAGCTTACTAGGAACAAGAATGGAACAGAATGTCTGTTACTCTAGAGCAGTGGTTTCCAACTCACAGGGGGTTCCACTGCCCCCCCCCCCACTCAGCAGTGCCTGGAGATATTTTGGTCATCATACCTGGGAGGGAATGTACTGGTATCCAGGGGGTTGAGGTCAGGGATGTTGGGCCAAGGATGAGCAAGCCTGCTGGCACGCAGGGAGGCGCACCTTCCACCTCCCCAAGGGGTCACATAAGATACCACTGCCTGACTCCTTCATGTAGAATCCAGGCTTCAGTCTGAAGTCACACGCTGCTTCTTGTCAAAGCTACAACTGCACAGACGCCAACTGTCACTGAGCTCTCCCTGGAATTTCCGATCCAAGGCTTCTCTACATGGGAGAGGAAGGCACCCAGCAGATTCCCTGTGGCTCCCAGAAGGAAGGGTTTGCATGACCAGCGATGACAGCTCTGTACTGTCAGCCCCCTTATCAGACCAGGCTCCTCCACAGCCTGGGGGGGCGGGGGGGCTGCATTACCCAGCTTCCTGTGTGAGCACAGGGGCAGGTGTGTGTCCACACCAGGCCCCTCACCAGGCAGCCGTTCTCACAGGGGGAAGCTGAGCCTCAGCCTCCAAAGGCTGTGGGTTTTCCGGCACCGCTGACATCCTTCCCATCAGGCAGCAGCAGCAGGGGACAGGCCCGGGCGACATCATCAGTCACCCCCTGCCGGCCTGGGCTCCCACCACCGCTCCCCACCCTCAGCCTAGTCTCCACCCCACCCCCACCCCACCAGAGCCTTTTGTTTTTTTGAACCAAAGCCAGCTTTATCATTCGGGTTCAGGGAACAAAACTGCCAGGTACAGAGAGAAAAACCGAAAACACACACATATACACAAAATTATTCTTACGGCCACTGCACATACTCCTGGGAACTTTCTGAACTGATCAGTTAAGTAAAACTGAGCCCAAACCCCCACTTCCCTCCCTTTCCTCACGAAAAGGGGGCAGGGCCCAGCTACAGGGAAAGGACACTCAGCAGGTATGTGGAACGGGGGCTCCAGTATCACCCTGCACCAATTACCCCCAAAATGCCACCTGCGGAGGTACCCTTCTGCCTGCCGGCATGCCCTCTTTTGCACAGGAGAGCTCAGAGTCCCTGGGAGCCCCGCGAACGCGGGGGTTGTTTGTCTAGGTGGCGAGGGCCCCGCGTTGGCAGAGTTGAGAGAGGACGTGGGTTTCAATCAGGCCGGATCTCCAGACTCACACCTGACTTCGTCTGCCAGGGAGAAGGCCGGGCACCCCTATTCTCCCGTGTGGACAGGGACTCCACAAGTCTGGGGCTGAATTCACTCCACCACTTGATGCTTTTGAAATCAGGGTCCTATGTTCAAGGCGCTCTTTCAGAAAAGGTACAGTTTGTCCTTTAGCCACTTCTCTAATATCAGGGGGGACCCATGTGACAGGCCCGGTGGTGAGGTGGGGGTGTGCACGGAAATGGAGCTGGCCCCCCTGCTCCCGGAGCCGATGGTCTAGACTGGAGCCTTGGTTCTCCACCGGCAGTATGTCCCTCGGGGAATATTTGGCAACATCTGGAGACATTCTTGTTGTCACAATAGGCGGGGAGGTTGCAGCTGTCTAGTGGGCGGAGACATGACAGGGGACGCTGCTCAACAGCTCACAAGGCTCAGGGAACGCAGCCTGACAAGGACCGTCTGCTCCGCAAGGTCAGCGGGGCTCCGGGGGCACCTGAGGATGGCCACGCAGGTGACACTGGAGAGTGAGCTGCTTGTGAGCAGACAGAGGGCAGAGGAATGAGCACAGGACAGTGTCCTAGACAGCGCATCTCAAGGGCCAAAAGGCCCCGTGTCAGGAGGTACCATGGATGGTTCTGGAAACAGGTTCTGGAACTATGTTTACTTTTACATCATGTCACCTTATACTCTTTGTAAGACAAGGTCTACTCTGGGGCCATAACCTAACAAACAGCTCATCGTGACCCAGATCAGAATCCAGACGAAGCATGACCTCCCTCCAAAAAGGAAAAACTGGTAAGACCACACCTCATCAAAATTAAAAATATTTGCTCTACATAAGACTCTGCAAAATGATGAAAAGACAAGCTACAGACTAGGAGAAAATATCTGCAGACCACAAATCTGACAAAGACTAGTACCCAGAATACATAAAGAACTCTCACAATGCAACAGTAAAAACAACAATGCAGTCAGAAAATGGTCCAAAGACATAGACTGACGTTTCTTTGAAGAGGATACACAGATGGCAAATAAGCCCATGAAAAGATGTTTGGCATCGTTCACATTAGGGAGTGCAAATTAAAACCACGATGGGCTATCACTACACACCCATCAGACTGTCTAAAGGAAAAACTAATGATAACACCAAATGCTGGAGAAGATGCAGAGAAGTTGGAAAACCCAAACATTGCTGCTGGGAATGGTAAATGGTACAGCCACTCCGGAAAAGAGTTCGGCAGTTCCTTACAAATCAAAGCATGCATTGAACCACATGATCTAGCAGTCTTGGACATCCATCTCGGGAAAATGAAAATTCACGTTCACACAAAAAAGTGCATATCAGTGTTCACAGCATCTTTACTGGTGATAGCCCCACACCGTAAACTACCCAGATGTCCTTCGATGGGTGAACGGTTGAACAAACCATGGCACATTCATAGCCCAGAACACTACCCAGCAAGAAAGAGGATGAACTACTGATACAAACAGCAACTCGGATGGATCTCAAGGGAATTCTGCAGAGTAAAAGGTCAATTACTAAAGGTTATATACTGTATGATTCTGTTTATAAAATGACAAAAATGTAGAGATGGAGAACATTTTAGTGGGTACCAGGAGTTGGGGAAGATGGGAGGGAAATGGTGGGTACGACTGTCAAAGGGTAACGTGAGGGGTCCTTGTGATAGAACTATGCTGTATCCTGACTGTGGTGGTGGCCACACAATCTACAGGTGATAGAATCACACAGCAGCACGCGCACACACACACACGAATGCCTGTAAAACTATTGAAATCTAAATAAGGTAGATGAATTGGACCAGTGTCAATTTCCTAGTCGGGGTATTTACTGTTGCGCCCAGTAGTTATGCAAGTTGTTACCTTTGGAGGAACTAGGTGAAGGGTATATGGGATGTCTCTGCAGTATTTTTTTTAACTGCATAGGAATCTACAACTCTGTCAATATCAGAAATAACAACAAAAAAAAACCCCATGTTTTAAAATGTTAGCCAGCAAACAAAGGCACCTTTACACAGATCATTTATTATTTACTTGACTGCCTTTCCCAATCCTGCAAGCACACTAAAAATGTCAATATTCTAAGAAATATATCAATGATGTGTTTGCTTAATTGTGCCTTTCCATAATTTGTGACAGCTCCAAGTCTTAGACTTCTCGGCCTCTAAAGGCTCCTGAGACAAACCACCCAAGTTCATACCCCTACATCCACTACAATGAACTGTGTGACTCTG